CTTTTTTTATTTTAATAACTTTCTGTTTAAAATCAAACCTAATACAGTAAACCCATCCATATGACCACATTGTTTCTTTAATATTGACTACAGTAGGAGAGCACAGATGGCTTTGCTGAAAATACAAGATTAGAAGAACAAAAATGGGGAATATGTGGCAATGGAAAAATTGCCTGTAAATACTGTCTGCATAATAGAAAGTTAACTAAATTCAAGCAGAAATGGTTACCTTCTGTATTCAACATAAAAGCATAGTATAAACATTTGAGACAAAAAAGAAAAAGAAAGAACAAAATGGGAGTCTGCTGAATTTTTTTTTTCTTACAGAGTTTTGTTCTTTTATTTTAATCATTACATTAAATTTCATCTTTTGAACTCTCACTTCAACTAATGCCTCCAGTATGTTCAGGCAGAGTAGGTTACTCAATTAAACACTGCCATGTTGTAGGACTGAGGAAGCAGGGTTTCTCTGTTACGGCCCCCATCCTTCCATCAGCTTTCCTCCTGATTTGTTTTTCCTGTTGCCTTTTTATTTAATAAAATACAGGTAGTCCTTGACTTACAGCAGTTCGTTTAATGACCATTTGAAGTTACAACAGCACTGAAAAAAATGACTTATGACCATTTTTCACACTTATGATCAATATAGCATCTCTGTGGTCATGTGATCAAAATTCAGACAACTGATTCATATTTATGATGGTTGCAGTGTCCCAGGGTCATGTGATCCCCTTTTGCAATCTTCTGACAAGCAAAGTCAATGGGGAAGACAGATTCACCTAACCAAGTATGTTACTAACTTAATAACTGCAGTGATTCACTTAACAAATGTGTCAAGAAAGGTAGTAAAATGGGGCAAAACTCACTTAACAAATGTCTTACTTAGCAACAGAAATTTTGGGCTCAATTGTGGTTGTAAATTGAGGACTACCTGTAATTATATATAAAAAGTTAATAAGAGAACTGGGAAAACATGAACACATAGTTATAGCCAGTGAGAGGTACAAAGGGAGACACTGGGCGGCTGTTATGAGATCATGAAGCTGTGCCTATCCACATTCATTCCTATTTACCTCCTCCCTGGATATAGGGAATGTTGGCCACCAGTTGTTGCTGGTTAATGGCAGGTTTGTGAGCAATAAGGGTGAATCCCTACTCAATTTGGTGCGAACAAGCAAGTGAATGTGGACTGCGTCATGGTAACCTGTTTGACAAGGACAGGGCCTTTTCCACATTTTATTTCCTGTATTCCTATCCAGATGCAGTTATAGCCATGGTTTTTATGCTGCAAAGAGGGTATGGTGATCATTTTGCATGAGACTTTGTCTGTAATAGAGGCGATCACCCTGCTGATAACCTGAGTGACAAATTGGGGCTGCTGTTGGTGTGCTGTCCATTTTACTGCTTGGCAAGCGTGTCCAGGCCCTTACCATTCATAATAGTATTGATGGCTGTCCTTCATGCTTTCAATGCTGGGACTCCATGCCCTGGGGATACAACCTGGATGGATTTGGGATTTCATGAGTTCATGCCAGGGTAGCTCAGGAATGACGTATGTAAACAATCATGACTAGAACTGGTAGTTTATCTTGCAGTAGTAAAAATGTATCTGAAACAGGACCCTATCATCAGTCCTTTGTCCTAGTCAGATATTTTTTTAATCGACATGCATATTATCACCAAGCTGATTTCTGGGGGGGCGGGATGGGGTGGAGACTGGTTTGAATGGTTTGTGCCAACCATTTACTGTGACAGTAGTAGAAATTAGTGACTAACCTTGGCTATGCGTGCAAGTTTGAGATTTGATAAGGTAATTGTGGTGATAAAAATATTAAGCATACATACTACTGCATGATTTCTGCATCTGCAGATTCTTATACACACGTGTTCACGATTACTTACCGTAAACCTTTCAAGAGAAAGGAGAAGCAGATATTGTGCAAACTTTTAAGGTTCTTTGCAGAATCTTCTTTTCTTATTCATATGTGGTATGAATTAGATCAAGGGTGTCAAACTGCCGGCCTGCAGGCTGGATGCCTCATGACGAAACCGCGCCCACCCCATTGCCGGCAAAGGAGAAAAAGCTCCGATACATCGCACAATGTCATGTGATGTCACGAGTTTGACATGTCTGAGTTAGATAGTATTTGAGCAGATGATGCAAATGTCTTGTGAGTTTATTAGGAGTCTGAGAAAGTTGATAAGGATGTTTGGAAATACGAACCCCACCATTTATTAATATCTGTATGAAACTATAGGAGCAGATACAGTAATCCATTGGTTTGGAGGGAGCTATCAGTACTGCACTAAAGGTAAAAGTTTCCCCTGTCCAGGCGTCCAATTCTAGGAGGTGATTAGCCAAGGGAACCAGCGTTGTCTGAAGACATTTCCGTGGTCATGTGGCCAGCATGATTATATGCCAAGGTGCATGGAATGCTGTTGCCTTCACACCACAGTGGTACCTATTTATCTATTCACATTTGCATGCTTTCAGACTGCTTGGTGGACAGGAGCTGCAGCAACTAACAGAAGTTCACCCTGTTGCGCAGTGCTCAGGTCTCAAACCCAGGCTGTCAAACTTTCCAGCTGACAAGCACAGTGTCTTTAACAAATGAGCCATCCTGCCCCATATTACTGTGTTAATAATATTCAACTGTATTTTTCTACCTTGGACTGCACTGGAGAGGTTAGAGATCCTTACTTGGTGCTTGGAAACTGGGACAAAACAAGCTCAAATTAAATCCACCAAATCAGGGAAAACTGTACCATCAAATGGCTGGTTTAATTCCAGTCCCCAAAATCATTTTGTACAAGGCCTCATTCTTTATGAAATAGTTCTGTGACTCGAGGTCCTCCTGGATTCAGTTCATGCTTGACAGCAGATGGAAGCTGGGAGCAGGTTTCTGCCCAGCTTTGTGTAAAAGTTGCAGGCCCTTTTGGATTAGAAAATTTATAGCAGCTATTCACCCTTACCAAGCATTTAGATTGCGATATATTTGACATGGGATTGCTTTTGAAGAAACTGGAAACTACAGTCAGCCCCAAATACAATGGACTGTTAATGGGCATAAGTGTAGCAGTGGAATTCTAGAGCAGTGGTGGTGAACCTATGGCACGCATGCCAGAGGCGGCACTCAGAGCCCTCTCTGTGGGCACACGCGCCATGCCCCGGAGATGGCAACCATCCCTCTTCAACCAGCTGCCCGCTAACTCGAGGTCCCACATGGCCAGATGCATCCCAGCACCCATGCACTCACTGGCCTCGTGTGCAGCAGCTGATGGTGTCAGGCAGCAGCCGCCCCAGCCCCAGCCCCAGCCTCACCTTGCCGTGACAATGGCACCCTCACCTTGCCTCGCCTTACCCAGCAGGACGAGCCTCCTGCCCACCACCCCACCTGCCAGAGACCCCCTGGATCTCTCCCAACCCTGCCCGGCCCCCACAGGCGTCCCTCCCCACGAGCAACATCGAGGTGATCACGCCCACCTTGGCCACACCCACCCAATCTGCCATGACCACCACAGCCACACCCACCCAGTGGGCCACGCCCACCTGGCACCCGGCGATAAATAAGTGGGTTTTGGGTTGCTGTTTGGGCACTCGGTCTCTAAAAGGTTCGCCATCACTGTTCTAGAGCTTTGGTTGCTGCATTGGTTACCAATAAACTTCCAGATTGGATTCAAACTCCTGGTCTTGAGCCTCAGCCAACATGGCTCCTATGTATCTCCAAGACCATCTTTTGTCCAGATTTGATTTTTACCCTGTTGATTTTTGATCAACTTGGTAATACTTAACACTTTAGCCCATCCTATGCATTTACATGAAGAGGGGAAGTTATCTTTTTTTGATTAGTAGCTATCCAGAGCTTGCTATCCAAAGCTTTCTAAAAGGAAAGCAAAGATTGGAGAGACAAGAACAAGGATATATTTACATGCAAAATATTTTATCAGTGTTATCACTGAACAATGCCCTCCATTCCCCCAAATCATCAGAAATTGAAAAGGGGAGGGGGCACTGTGAAGCTCTATTATAACGAAATGTTTTATCTATCCGTTAGCTATAATCTTACATTTAAAATGTATTTAATTCCAATGGTTTCAATATGGTTAAATCATTAAAAGAGCAGCAGTTTAATGGTGTGCCTTTTTATAGACACACAAGAGCAACATTTGTAGTTTGTCATTAGTTGTGCTGTTTCCTTCACACATTACTCATCTTATTCTCATGATTTTTGTTTTAGCCTTATTCATATTTTGAAAACAACCTACAATTGCTATTGTGATTGAAGTGTCTCATAAGTAAAGTTTCTACAAGACCAAATTGATTATATACATAGAAATAAGATGTTGTTGGCAATGATTTTCCCTATTTCTGCAAAACATGCCAAATATTATACCAAAGCAATCATACTTTTGGTTTTTCAGTAGAAAAGTAATACATCCTGATAAATATCTTATTATAGAGTTTTCCTTGCATGTTCCATTAGAATTAACCTCCGAGTTCCACTGCATTTATGTTCAATAAACTATAGGAAGGACTATACTTTCGGAATTATTTATTCTCACCTGTGAATTTTCCAAGGGTATCTGAACTAGATGAGGTCAAATAACAAAATGTGTTTGTGATGTAAACTCTAGCCTTTTCATATTTATATCATGATGGGAGAATCATGACATCTTAATACACTTTTCATAATTTATATAAGGCATTTTATTAAATAATTCAATTAATGGTCTGTACATGAGAATTTTTGGTTCTGCAGGATTTATGTATCAGACAATGATTCATGTTTTTAGTACAGAACACAGCAATCAATTGTCAATTTCCAGATGAATTTAACTCCTGTCTTCAAACTGTGCCTTATTTTTTAACAGATATGCTGCTAAAAATTCAATAGGGTTTATGGGCCTGAAAAGAAAAAAGAGAAACAATATATATAAAATAAAAAGATCTTTTGACTTCAATTAATTTATGAAGTTAATATAAAAATTAAGGCATAAGTCAAATCCATAATTGTAAATTGTAAATACTGAATATTAAATCTATAGAACATGCTGTTTGCTTAAAAAGAAGAAAATACTTTGAATGTCATTCCAGATTACCAAGCATTTTATTATACAGCCAGCCTCTAAAGTATATGGAATAATTCATAACTAAGTTATAGGCCCTGCTGATTTATTAATTTAAGTCATAACTTAAATGGACCTTGTTTAAAAGATATTATGAGAGAGGAACAAGTATTACCTGACAAGATTGAGAATGATCTGAAATTTTAAAATGACAGAGTGCAAGAATATGAAAAAAGATGCTATACTGGACATATAAAAGAAACAGCAGATGCCTTAATTAAAATATACAAATAAGAAATCAAGAGAGTGATTTGGATAATTGTATATATAACTCACCTCTCCTTTGCAAGGACTGCAAGGCCTTGTAATAAGATAGGAACAACTGTCTGATCCAAATATGCACGTGTAGGTAATGACTGAAGGTCCACTTTCTGCTTTGATGTTTTTTCTGCACTTGTTTTCTCATTTTCCACTATCCGCTTAAAATTATAAACATATGTTTCATGAAGGTATCTATCCCATATTTAATTAAAAACCAAATTTCTTAATTAAATTACAGTTTCCAGGCATTCCTTTTGTGGTCCTTGGAATGAGTAGAACCAAAAATGTGGAAAATTAATCTCTTGCATTTTTGAGGTTTTAAGGAACAAATTTAGTGTCCTAAAATATAGAGGTATATAAATCACCCATGATCATCCAATTAAAACTTCTGAAGCCGCACCCATATGCCCTTCAAGTTGCATGCCCCCTGTCCAGAATATTTCCAAAGACCTATGCATTTTATTGTAATCTACACAAGCAAAAAAATATTCTTCTGAATGGTACACAATCCCAAGCAACAAAGCTGATTTATTTGCTTGAAAATACTCATGCCTTCATTCAATAGATTTATAGGTGTGATTGAAGTCTTGTTGTACCAAAGTATAAATGTGCAAATATATTTCAGAGACTTGGGTGACCAATCCAGAATCCCATGGCTGTATGAACCTTTAGAGCCCCTTGTACTGTAGAACTGCAACACCTGAAACGCACTACTGCAATTTCCCACAATTTCCAGGCATCAAGCAGAACTTAAAATAGGCTTAGCATAATTTAAAAAATGTCATAAATGCCCTATAAGTACTCCCAAGACATGGAGGAAAAAATCAGATTTCCACCTCTAGCATCTCTCCACGTAATTTGCATCATTACAGAGCAACTAACCACAGCTTTTGCAAGGCAACTGTAAAAACTCTTTCATTAAAGTTTTTTTTTTAAAAGTAATAAAAACATCTCTAATTTTCAGTATAGTATCGTAATTTCAGAACCAATCAAATATTCTAATACAAAATATGAGGCTTCATTCAGCAACTCTACGCAGTTGTTTCCTAAATTATACACTCAGAGCAGTGTATCATTAACTTCAATTAGAAATAATCTAAACACAATTACCTCTACATTTTCTGTAAGGCCATATTCTGCATGTGGATTTTCTGGAACCTGTAAAGTAACACACAACCATAAAATAACAACAAAGGAATATTTGCCTCTTTAGAAAACAAGAATGTTAAAGAATTATTATTATGCTTGCTCTTTTAGCCTTACCTGTGGCTGGCCCTCGATAATCTGTTCGGTATCCATGATGTACAGAAGTTAAAATAGTCTGAAAGAACTTTTTAAAAAATGACGATTATGCAAGTTAATACACTGAGACATAGAAAGTTAACATCCTGAATCTCAAAGATATTTTGCTACTCTCCCAGATGAAGTACTTTTTATATTAAGCCAGTAAAACAAAACTCCTTAAGCATGAGATATTTAAAGTGATTTCACTGCTTCGATTGGGTTATCAAAATTACCTAGGGGCCACTGACTTAGGAGGAACCAATTCCATAATTAAAAGAGACCGCAGATGAGATATATATTAATTCGAAATGGAAGCCCGATTTATTTCAAGTAAGAGGAGATTGGATTGCAGCTTTTGCTCGGCGCCCTAACAAAAGCTTTTTTTCTTTTCTTTTTTTGCAGTTAAAATCAAGCATGGAGGAATTAAGTGGTTCCGGGATATACCTCTGGCCTAAGGCTTCAGAGTGCCTCTACTCTTCTTACTTACACTCGGTCAACTAAATTCGGTTGGAAGATATAACCGGCAAGAAACGGCCCGTCGCGGAGCAACAAAAAAAACAACCGTCGCTACAAGTCGTAAAAAGATATTGGTTGTCGTACAATGTTGTGGCCATGGAAAGGAAGGATGTCGCACTTCACGGGCCACGGAGATTATTTTTTTTTTTGGCTGATTTGTGCGCCTGCGTCAAATGTCTCCACCACCAAGCGCTGCTCCGAGGGTGGAGGCTGTTAGTAAAACACCTCGGGTTGGTTTGAGCAGTGTAAAATGTAGGCTATGCACCCTCGAAATTAGCATGGTGCTTAGTCACAAAATTGATCAGGGTTAAAGAATCTTTATTTTCAGATGCTTGTTATAAATTTGACAATACAGAAAAGAAGCTGTCACTCTAAAGAGCTCACAACGAAGCAGAATTTTGTTCTGGATTAAGTACGGATTCATTTGTTGCAATAGGCTTCTTTAACTTGCAAGCATTCAGTGTTTTCCTTGCTTCGAAAAACTCAGATGGGAAAAGCTGGGGCTATCAAAACTGGGCAGCTGAGGTCCAGTCGATTTGATGTTTCCTGTATATTTGCTATCTTCTAAAATCTAAGGATAGTCTGAATTGTTGCAGACCAGCTCTCCAAATGTAGATTCTGATGTTTATAGAGACAATTTGTGTGTATTATAAACAGCTTGATCCCAAATGAATTCCAAAATGCAAAATTCTGTAAAGTAACACCTTACCTTTTAATATCTTCATACAATTATTTAGCACACTCCACTGTTCAAACTAGGGCACACTATCAAACACATTTAACTCATCAGCTCTTTCCCCTGGCCACAGGGCAAGAATGCTTCTTTGTGCCTTCAAAGGATAACTCATACTTGGAGAAGAGTATTTCTGGCAAGGAGAGCAGAAACCTCCAGCTTCTTTGAGTGGGTGGAGCAGGATTGTTCATTGTATGAAATCCCTTAGAAGGAAAGGGTGCAGTTTTCCACTCCTTCCCCGATTTATTGCCTAGTTTAGAATATATCATATTGCACTAATGTGTCACAAGAAGATTTGATAAAACACTTTTTACAATTAAGCCACTAAGAACATACCACTTTATGCTTCTTAAACTGAGATTAATTACAATATGCATTAGGGACATAATCTCAAAATTTGGAAGGAATAAGGATTTATTGCAGTTTTTTGATGCAGCCTCCTATGAATTGCATGAGATCTTAAGAAGCCTATGTCTGTAAAGCATATGCTTGGTGAAACAATACATTAAGCTGGAATTTGTTTTACTTGATTTTAGTTTAGTGCATCAAGTAGACTTGGCCAAGTGCGATTTATTCAATATGGCAAGCTTATTCAGTATCAGCCAGGAATACATAACACAAGGACTACTGGAACTTTTATTTTTATAGGACATAATAACAGAGTCTTGAAATTCTGCAGAGTATCTCTCTGCCTTCTTTTATACCAAATGGAATCAAGGCAGGATTATCTTGAATTTATTTCTCATCCCTTCTGAATTGTCAATTATTTAATGTTCTTGCATTTCTTCATCAAGGTTATCTCCATACTCCTCTGTGGCTTATGTGAACTAGGCATAGTTCATTAGTAATACTGACTAACTGAACCAAGGGAGGAAGAAAGCATACTGGGATGCAGTAGTGACAATATAATCCTATAGTGTGGAAAGCTCAAGGAGTCAGTGTGACAGATTGCCATCTTTCCTCTTTCTCATTCTAGCCATGTTTATTTAAAAGTTAGTTCTATGACATTCAGTGTGTTTACAGAAAATTGGATTTGCAGCAATAGTTTTAAGAGGGAGGTGATAAAAATGTAATTTTGTACATCAGAATGAAGTTGTCTTGTTTAGTCAAGAGTAAATTGTGCCATATATAAAAGCAGTTTGAGAAAAATTGTCCTACCTTGAAGGTGTTTCTATCACTACAGGTGTTTACGATGTGATGACAGATTCAAGAGAAATAGGGCCTACAAGATGTTGAATCTGACTGCATTTTGTTGCAGCATGGTTTTACAATTAGAAACAATAAGAGATGAACTTTACCTTTACACTTGTGATACATGATATATATTTGCCTTCTTACCCCACACATGAGTGATATGTGTGTTCCTAGCACTGCACTCTTCTAGATAGAGAACTCTGCTGTTGTTCCTGGGATCTGAGGGAGGTAGTCTCCCAGCCCAGGAGTCACAGCCTCCTACCACCACTGGGAGCGCTTTGGCCTTTACTTTTCACCTCCTTGCTATTTCCTCCTTCAGGTCCTGGTACTTCTCCAACTCCTTGTACTCCTTATTCCTGATGTTGCTGTTACTTGGTATGGCTACATCTACCACTATTGCAGAATGTATAAAGAGGCCTCAGAGACAGTCCAATACATAGCGGCAGGGTGTAAGATGCAGGCAGGAATAGCATACACTGAACAGCAAACCAAGTAGCTGGCACTGTATTCAGGAACATCTGCAGTGTATGGACTAGATCAGGGGTAGGCAACCTTGGCTCTTTTATGACTCGTGGACTTCAACTCCCAGAATTCCTGAGCCAGCCATGCTGGCTCAGGAATTCTGGGAGTTGAAGTCCACGAGTCATAAAAGAGCCAAGGTTGCCTACCCCTGGACTAGATCCTCCCAAGTCCAGATGGGAGACACCACAGAAGGTCATGGGAAATAACAGGGCTAAAGTCCTGTGGGACTTCCACATCCATATGGACAGGCAGATACTAGCCAATCTACCAGATATTGTGGTAATAGTCAAGAACCAGAAGTGGTGGTGATAGATGTAGCGGTGCCAACTGCTATACAGTAGCTGTTTCTATAGTACTTGGAAGTAGCATAGCAGTAACTGACAACTATACAAATCTGGAGATTTGAATTATCTGTACTAAACAGACCAAACTCTTATTTTATCTCTATGCTACCTAGAATTTTAGGCTTCATTATTAACCTTTTAATGGGAGAGAGATTAGCATTTTAATATGACATCCATGCCTGTTTTTGAAATCAAATTTTTTAGCTAAAGCCATTTATTTTAATCCACAAAAATAGCCTATTCATAAACTAGCTTATTCGTAAATTAAATAGAGAGCATATTCTCAGCATATTCCTTTAATACAGTTGCAAGTTTTAAGGAAAATATAAATCCAGCTGAAAAGGAAATAATGCAACCTGTAAATTTGCCATTTGTGGAATGTTATCGAGAATCAATGTTTTCTATTGTTCTATTCTCACATGTAATCAATGTACTTTACTCTTTGATCACTTGTTTTCTTATGTATCCCATATACTTTATGTATCATTTGTTTCTGTACCCTATAAAAATACTTGACACCCCCCCCTTAATAAATACTTTTTGCTTTACCTGAATTACTTGATTTGTATTTTGGGGTGGGCAAAAAAGCCACTTTGCAAATGTAGCAAGCAAACTCAGCGCCTGACTTTCTAGGCCACATCTGGAATACTGTATTATGTGTTAACATACAGTGAAAGAAAAGAAAGGCAAAGTAGCCTAAAATTAAACATAAGGCTAAATAGGAGTTACTATATTTACAATGATACATTTCCAGGAGTAGGCAACCTTGGCTCTTTTATGACTCATAGACTTCAATTCCCAGAATTCCTGAGCCAGCCATGCTGGCTCAGGAATTCTGGGAGTTGAAGTCCACGAGTCATAAAAGCCAAGGTTGCCTACCTCTGGACCAAACCGTAATGGCATAGCTCACACATAACAATCCTTCATCTTTCAATATTAATCCCAAAGCAACCACATCACTATTTATTGGGATATGCAAATCAGGTCACGGAGTTCGATGCAACGTATAGCTTTGCTGATTTTGAAAACGCGAAAGGAACTTGCAATGCAACCACATTTCCAGGATTATCTGACAAGACAACCACGAGGAAAAAACATTCTCACTCCCATTACGCGAACGTTCGTTAACGACGTTACCCAGAATGCATCGCTCTCACACAAAGGGCGAACTTCCTAACGTGGAGCGGAACCCAAACTTCCGCTATTCCTTGTGAAAAAGAAGCCTTGCGCTCTGGCGGCGATCCCACTTGTTAACTAACAATAGACCTCCGAAAGGCGCTTACGGGGGTTTCTTATTCAGAAAGGCTCGCTACGTAGCGTTTCCCCGTCCGCGCGTGTGAGATAGTGGGGTTGAGCAAAAAAGGGGCGTAGCCTCTGCTATGGCAGGCCCTGGCAGGTGGTGGTTGTCAGTCCCTGGCAGCGGGTTATGGCTACGGTGGTGATGAATGAATTCTCCGGGAGGGAGAGGGAAGAAAAAGGGCTCAAGCGCCTCCAGTTCCCCGACTCGGGCCGCCGGGGCCTCCCCTTCATCCGCCGCCGCCGGCCCGGCTCCCGCCCCACACCGCCAACAGGCGGCGGTGGCTTCTCCTCACAAGCGGAATCTCTACTATTTCTCGTATCCGCTTTTCGCCGTCTTCGCCCTGCTTCGTTTCCTCGCCTTCCAGCTCGGGCTGCTCTTCGCCTGGCTCTGCGAGCGCCTCTCCCGCGGCGGGGCGTTGATGGCCGCCGCCAAGGGCACCAGCCGAGCAGGCGATGCGCCCGAGTCGGTCCGAGCCTGTCACAAGCGCGCCTTCGAGTGCATCTCCACGGCTCTGCGCATCGACGAAGACGAGGCGGGTGAGTCCGGGGAAAGCGGGCAGGGCCGGCCGACAAGCTGCCCGGGAGTGAGGGGGAGACACGGCGGGAAGGCTGCGAAGTTCGCGGCTGTTATAAGGGGAGCCTTCCTTTTTTTTTTTTCCCGGCCCCTCTCCCGCTTACTTTTGTCTCAATGCAGGGTCGGTTTTCTGCTTGGTCATAGCCTCCGTTTTACTCTCAGGCTTGTGGCGAAGCGACGGCCGGCATTGGTATACAATACAGTACTATACAGTACAATACAGTATACAATACAGTACTAGGACCCGAACACACCTGCCTGTCTTTTAATATGGCTGTGCGTTAGAGCCGCTTCAGCGTTAGAGCCGCTTCGCTTAGACTCACGCCTGAGGGCGAGACGAAGGGGGCTGAAGGGGCAGGAACGATCTCGGGCTCGGCGGGGAGAGGGACCTTCCGTCCGGATTTTGAGTGCCAGCAGCGATTAACGTCGTTAGCAACCTTAAACAGCGCAATCCGGGCAAAGTAGCGATGCTCTTGTACAGGTGTACAACGGGTAGGGGGCCGGGATTGCAAGGGTTTTTATTTTATTTATTTATTATTTAGATTTATATCCCGCCCTTCTCCTCGTGGGACTCAGGGCGGCTGACAATCAATTAAAATACATAAATAACAATACAAATTGCCCACGCCGAGAAGACCCGTGTTACGGCCACAGAAAGGGTTCCTCTGCATGAAAGATGTGGATAGGAAGGGCTTTGTGGGTGGAGCCCCTGTGAGGGAGGCTTTGTTGTGAATCTGAAAGAGACTTTGTGCTACACAGTCTTGGGTTAGTCTCTTTGTTCTCTGGGTCAGTGTTTCTCAACCTTGACAAATTTTAAGGCATGTGGACTTCAACTCCCAGAATTCCACAGCCAGCGTTGCTGGCTGTGGAATTCTGGGAGTTGAAGTCCACATGCCTTAAAATGGTCAAGGTTGAGAAACACTGCTCGAGGTTCAGGTTGCATCTTAGTCATCCATTCCTGCTAGTCTCCTCTGGTTGTAGCGACTCTACGGCTTACATGTTTACGGTGTTATATTTCTGTGGCTGGCAGGAGGGGTTTTTTTTGGGGTGTAGGGCTGCCTTTCCCTTGATTTTGAACTCTGGATAAATCTCTGCAGTTTTCTTGGCAAACGGTTTTGGAAGTGATTTGCCATTGCCTCCTTACCTAGCGCTGGCAGAGAGAGGCTGGGCCAAGGTCACCCAGCTGGTTTCCTATTTAAATCTGGTCTAGAACTCCCCGTTTATAGCCTGATGCTTTAACCACTACACCAGTGTTTCTCAACCTTGACCATTTTAAGGCATGTGGACTTCAACTCCCAGAATTCCACAGCCAGCAATGCTGGCTGTGGAATTCTGGGAGTTGAAGTCCACATGCCTTAAAATGGTCAAGGTTGAGAAACACTGCACTACACCAAACTGACTGTGGGATCGTAATGTCTTCTCTTTTTATGAAAGGACATTTTACTACTCAATACCTCCGTTTACTAGGTTTTACCGTAAAAGGAAATATGCCAACCCAACGATGTGTCGTCATTCAATTTGTCCTCATACAATTATAACCCTCATACCTACCATGTTCAACACAGAACAGTCAACGTTTAACATTTATTATGGTCGAACGACTGCTGTAAAGTTTTGAGGCAGAGCTAAACCCACTGATAGAAGTGCTTAAATATTCTATACTTTGCAAATGTGTAGATTTTTGTGAGATACGCTGGTAGAAATCATTTCTTATTGAAATACATGAAGCTACCTTGATGTGTCAATTTTGATTAGCATCACTACCTTGATTAGATCTATTCATTTTTGCCTTCTGTGAAATATATTCAGAGCAGTTCATAACACACAAAATGGAAGGAATAATGGTTAAATAATAATATTTGTAGCATTGTATTCTTGTGCCTACTTCTAAGTGAGACTTTCCAAGTTACATTTGTTGGAAAATAATACAGATAGCTACCTTACACTGAATCAGACCATTAGTTAATTATTGTCCAATAGTAATTTATTTGAAAGCCAAGAATTCTCCAAACAAAAACTTGCCACATCATCGTTATGTAAGATTTACAAACCGAAGATGCCAGGTATTGAACCTGCATGCATACATGTGCTAATAAATATAGAAATGCTCTATTAATGACAGTAATTCAGTTTTATTTAATTTGAGTTTTATGTCTATGTTTAAAAAATTAAAACTTTCAGAAGTTGATGGAAATTTCTGCTGTTTTCCTGTTTCTATTCTACAACAATAGTATGTTGTTTTTATGCAGCAGCCGATTTACTTCAATTAATTCTACACAGTACCACAGGGAGAAATATTTTGATTAAGCATTAACAGCAGTGATGATTTTCCTGTCTCTTTGGCTGTGTCTGTATGACATACAGGCTTACAATATGTACATATTTTAACCTTGTTCATATTTAGCCACTGTGGTTAGTTTATGGTAAATTGAGTAAATCATGATTAACTATGGGTTAGTGGGTTGTAATCACAAGCATTCTTGGATCTCTGTTTATGGGGAAACTGGTCCACTCTGGCAATGATGTTTGATTTTTACTAAGCATGTGTCTCAGGTGATATATAAATGTAATTAAAGACAATTACAGACACACATGTAAATATGGTGTTAGAGGGAAACTACTAACCCAGGGGTGTCAAACTCGCAACATCATGTGATGTGTCGCGACGTATCGTGACTTTTTTTCCATTGCGGCAATGGGGTGGGCGCGGTTTCACCATGACACATCCGGCCCATGGGCCGGCAGTTTGATACCCCTGTCCTAACCCATCAGAAGACTTGATTTCTCTTATTCTAGTAGGTCTAAAATTGCCCTTTAATTCTTGAACTAAAGTCAAGAAGAAAAATACTTCTGAGAGCTCTATACATATTCCTCATATGTTTTAGGACAAGATGCTATAGTGTGATTCCTGAATGCTAGCAATGAAAAAAATCATTCTTAGTTTTATTTAATATTTATTGTAATATGCAAGCTAACAGAAATAAGAAAAAAATGTAAACATAAGGATAGCAAAAAGTAATATGGACATTAAGATTAAAAATACTGCCTAATGCATATACATCCCACTATTGAAATGATTGTTCCTCCATGTTCATCTATATTCAATAACAAATGTAAGAAGAGAACAATCTGTCATCTGGTTCTCAAATAATCAAATTGAATATCTTGAAAAGTTGTATGAAATGTGCTCATACTTTTATTGCAGTCATGTGTGGAAAAGGTTTTGGATTTTGATTTCATTTAACATATTAATCATAACTTATAGATAAATTATATGGTACTGCCTGTCTCCAACATTTTCTGCTTACCTGGTATATTCAGGCAGAGAGGCTACAATCTACAGGTGAAACTCGAAAAATTAGAATATTGTGCAAAAGTTCATTTATTTCAGTAATGCAACTTAAAAGGTGAACCTAATATATGAGATAGACTCATTACATGCAAAGCAAGATAGTTCAAGCCGTGATTTGTCATAATTGTGATGATTATGGCTTACAGCTCATGAAAACCCCAAATCCACAATCTCAGAAAATTAGAATATTACGTGCAATCAATAAAACAAGGATTGTACATAGAACAATATCGGACCTCTGAAAAGTATAAGCATACATATGTACTCAGTACTTGGTTTGGGCCCCTTTTGCAGCAATTACTGCCTCAATGCGGCGTGGCATGGAAACTATCAGCCTGTGGCACTGCTGAGGTGTTATGGAAGACCAAGATGCTTCAATAGCGGCCTTCAGCTCTTCTGCATTGTTCGGTCTCATGTCTCTCATCTTTCTCTTGGCAATGCCCCATAGATTCTCTATGGGGTTCAGGTCAGGCGAGTTTGCTGGCCAATCGAGCACAGTAATCCCACGGTCATTGAACCAGGTTTTGGTGCTTTTGGCAGTGTGTGCCTCTCCATTCTTCCTCCAGTCCAGACTCTGGGTCCTTGGTTCCCAAATGAGATGCAAAAGTTGCTCTCATCAGAAAAGAGGACTTTGGACCACTGAGCAACAGACCAGTTCTGTTTTTCTTTAGCCCAGGTAAGACGCTTCTGACGTTGTTTGTTGTTCAGGAGTGGCTTGACAAGAGGAATACGACATTTGAAGCCCATGTCCAGGATCCGTCTGTTTGTGGTAGCTCTTGATGCACTGACTCCAGCTTCAGTCCACTCCCTCCCTTTTGAATGGCCTTTTCCTGACAATCCTCTCCAGGCTGCGGTCATCCCTGCTGCTTGTGCACCTTTTTCTTCCACACTTTTCCCTTCCACATAACTTTCTATTAATGTGCTTTGATACACCACTTTGGGAACATCCAACTTCTTTTGCAATTACCCTTTGAGGCTTTCCCTCCTTATGGAGGGTGTCAGATGGTTTTCTGTACAACTGTCAGGTCAGCAGTCTTTCCCATGATTGTGATTCCTACTGAACCAGACTGAGAGACCATTTAAAGGCTCAGGAACCCTTTGCAGGTGTTATGGCTTAATTAGCTGATTAGAGNTCTAATTTTCTGAGATTGTGGATTTGGGGTTTTCATGAGCTGTAAGCCATAATCATCTCACTTATGACACATCATGGCTTGAACTATCTTGCTTTGCATGTAATGAGTCTATCTCATATATTAGGTTCACCTTTTAAGTTGCATTACTGAAATAAATGAACTTTTGCACGATATTCTAATTTTTCGAGTTTCACCTGTAGTTCCTTCAATTGTCATCTTGAAGCGTGCCTTTTGTGTCACAACCCATGTCCTCTGGAATAGGATCCCAGTAGAGAGATATACAGTGTTAACTCTCTTGATGGACCTAGCTCCATTCTCAGATCTGGTACTAGAGTGCTTGTGAAGACACTGTGTGTTTTTTACTGTTATAATTGATCTGTTTGGGCTGTTAGATTTTTAACAGTATTAATTGTATTTTTCATATGTTGTAAACCACTCAGATTAGGTGGCTGCAATACATCTATTATGACTGATAGTAGTAGTAATGGAATAAAATTGTCTCTGAGGTCACAGAAAAAATATACAAATATTGTTTTGATGAAGAATTTATAGCTACAGATAGAAAAGTAAGAAATTGTGACCGTGTTCTGAATGAATTATCTTGCTTCATAACTTGTTAATAATTCCTTGAATGATAAAAGAATTGTGTTTGCACTATAGACTAAACATAGCTTAATTATTTTTTTTGCAAATTGTCTACTTTGATTATTGTCCAACAATGCTTGTCGGGGCTGGCAGCTGTAATTTCTGAGTGTTGTTTTATACAATAGTTAGTTGAGGTCAGGTTGAGTTGTTCCCTCTTTTCCCCCCAATGGTTAACCAATACTGTCAAATGGGGGGGAGGTTCAGGAAGTATAATTATCTACTGTAGAGATTCAATTCCATCCACATCTCTTGCTTTTCTGGAAGATTATTATAGTACAATAGTCTGAACTGCTACATAGCTTAGCATGTCTTACATATCAAGTGAGAATATTGTGAATTAATGTAACAGTGGTATCTTGGCTTAACTTGTGAGAAGGAGAAATATAAAAAAGCTCTTGCTTGACAAAAAATAGGAGGGGTTTGTTTATTTATTAGATTAATATTCACATCTATCCTCAGAGTTTAAGAGACTATCTAATGGCATTATACTTCCCCACATAAAAAATATCCTTTAAGGTAAACTCAAATCTTGATGCTTTTAGTGACTTCATGGACTTAACAGTTTAAATAAATGATAGATAGTATCACTAACACATTAGGCACCAGGTGTAATTGGAACCAAAGTGCATCAATGAATGTTTTGCGCTAGATGTTTTGTCTTCAACCTTTCATCTTTGCTGGACTCAAATGATTTTTTCATTTTTAAGTTTATTTGTTAGAATATTTTAACATTCTCTGAGCCTTGAAATATTTTTGGAAGTTGGGCACTACTTATTTCCTAAGTTAGAATATGAAATACTGCCTAAGCTTAGAACTAGCTTAGGACCAAACTTTAGTTTTTATATTGTAATATACTGAATAGAATCAAATGTGGGTTTGTGCTTAATTCTTTAAGTGTTAGGAAAGTACAGAAGTAAATGGCAACCGTAAACATTTTCTCATGTTGGTAGCATGGTAAGCTGCTTTATTTTCTCTCTGTAGTGCTGACTTTTGTCAGCTGTATACTTTTTAGCTAGTGTTGTATTTATGTTTCATTGCCTTTCACTGATTCTGATGTAATACTAGTCTGATATAGTCATTATGCTACTATTATTCACTTGTTTTAAACAATAACCAGTTTAACATGTTTCAGTTAAATCCCATGCCTATAGTGAGGTTTGGTATAGGACAATTTACCTTTGATGTAATTGTCTACTAAAATGCTGTGAATTTTTAAACCCGCCATTTCTCCAAACAGTTTGATCTTTCTCGTAACATATTAAATGTTCTCTAGCGAGTCTTGCACAATCAATACCAAATTGCCAGCAAATGCACATAGTTTTTAATTGTGTCCTTTTGCTCTGTTATCTTATCTAATATCTCTATTTAACAGTTCCAACCCTGGATTAAGTCATAAAGGGGATAAAGGACACCCCTGTCTTGTTCCTTTCTGGATTACCATTCACCATAATCCAAGCTTTCTGGAGTATATAGATGGACTTCAGACCCATGCCTATAGTGATGTCTGGTACAAGACAATTTACCCTAGATGTGATCGTCTACTAAAATGCTGTGAATTGAACAGATCTTATTTATAAAATTAGCATTTACCTTTTATTGGCAAACTACAGGAGGATCAAATTTATTCTAAAGTATTGTTTTTTCTGCATATATTTGTTTTAATAAAAGAAAGTTACTTAAGTTTCTCAATGTTTGTCTAAGACTACTTGGAGTAGTTGTGTTTATATTTTCTTTCAAATTTTGGTTATTGTGGTACAGATACTTATGATTTGTGTAGTATCTGATGTTCTTTCACAATAAAATAATAGAACTCTTTTTTTTTTTCAGCAGGACAAAAGGAACAAGCTGTTGAATGGTATAGAAAGGGAATTGAAGAACTCGAGAAAGGAATAGCTATATTAGTTATTGGTCAAGGTAAGTTCATTTTTAGTGTTGTATGAAGGAGAAAAGCTGTCAATATGGTTTGAAAATTCTGAATAGACAGTTTGGAAGAAGAAATCTTGAAATCTGTAAAATCCATAGGATTTATTTTTTCAGAAATGATGTACCACCCAATTATAATAAATAAGCATTCTAGTGAAAGTTACATTCATATAAAATGCACGCCTTTTAATAAAATGACATACTGGTCTCTTAGCTCAGGTTAGATACAAAAAAGATGTTTTGTAGCATCTTAAATGTTAGAGGAGAGGTGCCCAGGTACGCTGTTGGGGCAGTATATTTCATGTTGTACTGTATACAGAACCACTGAGAAGTCCTGCCTTCTAGTGCACACTTTTCTCATGTCACACCAAGGCAGGACCTTGAACAAACTCGTATAAAAATGAAGATTTCAAGTTGATGAAAAGCAAGGTTAGACCTGCACTTGAATGCAAAATTAGCATATAAAGTTTTCTTCAGTGATCACACAGCAAACCGTTATTAAAATAGCTGTTCACTGAGGCTAATTTTGGCAGTCTTTATTACTTCGTTGTTAATATTTCTCTGTACAATAAATTTGAATTATTCCAAATTCTGGATGTGTTATATTATTAATATATCTCTGTTGAGATGTCAATCAGAATAGGACTAAATTCAGGTGTTCGTGTCAATCCTTATTTAGTTCAAGATTGAGGAACTTTTAACCACTCATGTTGGACTATAACTCCTGTTAATCCTAACTATAATAACCAATGCTCAGAAATGATTACAATTGTAGTCCAGCATCATTTGAAGAAACGTGAGTTTCCTATCGCTGATTTAATTATCAAGTAGCCTTAGTCTGTAGGAATTCCATTAAGGAGTTGTTGTATTTTGTACTATGTATAATTAGTCCTCACTTAACAATTAGAATTTCAATTGCTAAGCAATAACGCTTGTAAAGCACAATGTCCCATGACTGCATCACTTAGCAATGGCAATTCCAGCAATTCTGGTTGCTATCATTAAGCAAGTATTACGGATTGTTAAGTGAGGACCTCATGTGACCACAACTTGTGACTTCCTACCAGCTTCCAGCAGGTAAAGTCAATGAGGAAGACAGCAGGAAGTCTCATATCCCATATTGCCTGTGGGTGGATGAGGGGTACAACCAGGTGGGGATGGATGGGTAGTTGCTGTTTTACAAGTGCAGATGGGTAGGTGGGTGCTCCAGAGTGTAAGAGAGTGCACAGGTAGCTGTTGTGGCATGAGTACAAGGATGCTGTGGCTTAGTACAAATGCAACTGGGCTGGTAGGTGCACGCTACAGAATGCGGCTGGAGGTATGTGTTCCATGGTATGCAATGTGAGTTTCCTAATCAAGCTCCTCAGGAGTAAAGGAGCGGGAGCAGCATGTAACCTTCCCTGCCTGCTTCTCCATTGACTTTGCTTATGAGAAGCTGGCAACGAAGATTGCAAATGGTGATTAAGTGACAACTGGATATTGCAACTGTTTTAAGTAAGACCCAGTTGTCAAGCTTCTGAATTGTGGGTGTGGAGGGACAGCTGGATTTTCAAGGACTGGATGTAAGTACCATTTGTTTAGTACTGTTCTAACTTCAAATGGTTGCTGAATGAGTGGTCATTAACTGAGGACTACTGTAATGTTCAACAGGGCCAGCTACCATTAGAAGACTTCCTGGTTATTGCTATAATGTATATAATCATAAAAAATCAAATACATTTGGCAAAACTGGATTACTATGATGCTTATAATTTTGAAAACAAAAAAAACCTGTTCCAAAATAAAATTGCTGAGTTGTAATTGGAATGGGCTAATATCACATCATAGCTTTTCCGTCAGGATTCAGGCTGGCCTATAGTACTCAGACAGCATTGGTGACACAGTGTATGACCTGTTTTATAGTGGTTCTTGTTTTGCCATGACAAGTACCAGGTGGTTTTTGCAGATGGAGAGGTCCAGCCGTAGTCCCATGTTATATGGGATGCTCTCTCTTATTTAACATCTATATAAAGCAACTGGGGAGGTCATCTGCCAGCAGTATGCTGATGATACCCAATTGTATATCTTGTTCCAATGTATTTATTAAATTTGTATGTTGCCCATACAAGGGGGCTTACAGACATTTAATTAAAATACACTGTAAAACATTAAAACAATAAAGATCACACATTTAAAATTCAATTAAAATAAAACTAACCAGGCTAAAGAGGGAGGGAGCAAAGTGCATACAGGAAGGAGATGGGGTGTCATCTACTCCATTAGCCATCTCCATTAGCCAATGCTGGACAAATTATGCTTTAGAGGTGCTGGCGCAATGCCTGGAGGCTGTGGGGACTTGGATGGCGACAAACTGGCTGTGACTCAACTCTAGCAAAGCGGAGTGGTTGTGGATTTTTGACCCCCTAGAATCAGGAGAGTTGACATATCAAATTCTGCAATGGGTAACAGTCCCCAGACAGATAATAATGTGCAATTTGAAGATCATCTTCAACTTTTGGCTCCTGCTGAAAGAGCAGATAGCAAATGTGGCCAGTGCAGCCCTTGCACAAATTCATCTTGTGCACCAAATATTCATTTCAGAGTCCCTCTGTGAGGGAGATGGGTGGTTTTAAAATTTGATAAATAAATGTAAAAAAATTCTGGACCAAAAGGCCTTGCTCACAGCCACTTATGCCTTAGTTACCTCCCATTTGAATTTCTGCAATGCACTCTAAATGAGGCTGTCTTTGAAGACCATCTGGAAGCTGCAACTGCTTCAGAAAGCAGTGGCACTGCAGTTTTGTGTGCCCTACAGTTTATTTGATTAGCACTACTGCATGAGCTGCACTGGATCCCAGTTGCTTTCTGGTTGCAGTTCAAGGCGCTGGTTATCACCTTTAAAGCCCTACACAGCAGAGAGCCTACTAAGATAGGATGGGGGCACTCCAGATCCATTCCCTTAAAAGTTGCCACATGGTGGGACTTTGGAGGTATGCTTTCTTGGGGGCTGCCCCAGCCCAGCCTCCCATTTGAGATCCTATTTGAGATGCCTATATTTTTAGCTATTTGGAGGGCTGTGAAGATTTGGCTCTTCTCTCAAGCTTTGAGCTAGGATAGGGGTGGGCAACCTTGGCTCTTTTATGACTCGTGGACTTCAACTCCCAGAATTCCTGAGCCAGCATGGCTCAGCTTGGAAACCTCTCCCTTTTCCCTCAGCGTGGCTGGCTCAGGAATTCTGGGAGTTGAAGTCCACGAGTCATAAAAGAGCCAAGGTTGCCTACCCCTGAGCTAGGATGAAGGTTGAGCTAGGAGGCTGTTTAATCTGGTACCTGGGAAGAAGAGTACTTTAGTTTTTGGCTTTTTTATTGTTGTGAATCATCAGAATCATTACAGTATATGAGATGTATAAGATGTATATAAGTAGATATGAGCTGTACAAGTCCTATAAGTAAATAAATAAATATATAAATGTCAGCGCTTCATCTACTGCATTGGCTGTTCTATTGTTTCTACATAGTAGATCCAATTCAATTTTTTGAGGCTTGATCCTTAAACCTCTGAAAAATTTGGGAAAAGAATTTTCTCGCTTATAAATGCTTTTAGATTGATCAATCGTTCTGTGTTTCTCTGATAGGTGAAATGAGGCACAGACTTCTGTTGTAGAGTTCTAGAAGCACTTCGCAAGGAGTTATGTCTGGTTCCTATGCTTTGCTGTCAAGGAAAACCTTCATTTTTTAATACCAGAATTTCTATAGTTTGTGTTCAGTTTGATTTTTTATTACTTGTATTATTCTGCAATAGTGTATTTTATATTTTATAGTTATTCTGCACAACTGATTAATTGTGCTGCATTCTGCTACTGTTTTTGTTTTGCTTTTTAGTGTTTAAAAAAGCTTTTAATGATTTTAATGATTGTTATTAGATAATCTGCTTAGATACATTAGATTGGCTATTACATATATTGAAATTGATAATTGGATATTGATAATTGGATAGAGTATAATAATTATAGAATAATTATTGAATACCTGAATCTTTTATCATTGTTTATATCATGTCCTTTTTGAAAGGGATTGTATGGAGAAGTCATAGAAACAAAGAATAATAAGTCTTCTTCAAAATTACAGCTAATGCCAAATTTTTAGGATTAAGTTTAGTACGTAGTAGCTGTTTGGTTAGCTGAATCAAAAATTTGAACATATAGTTTATATTTGTATTGTTTGGTTTAGTTATTATGGCTTTAGTGAGTTTTTCTGATAATAGTTTTAGCTGGGAAAATTGGGTAACATAAAAGTCAGAATTTTGGATCATGTTTGATTCCCTGGTATTAAAATAGCAACAAATGTATACTTAATTAACAGTTACTGTACTGTATAAAAATTACAATGTGAGTTAACACCTTATAATTAACTTCGATAATTTATGACACAAAGCTAAGATCCAATCAAATAAACACCTTGAAACACTTTTGATTTTTATTAAAAATGCTTTAAAAATAATCATTTACTCCTTGAAATTAATAGTCTTTAATAGGACAATAGTACTTTTCTTTGGCGGAATATTGGCATAGATTTACAAATCTGTAATCATAATGCATCACTTTTCCAAAGGAATTCTAAAACTCATAGTATTTTCATATGAGTATTTTGGGAGTCTATAGTTTGGAATCCTGTGTAATTGTAGTAGCATCCTAGAGGTTTTTTTTTGTTTGTTTTTTTTTGCCAAACCTGTTGCTTCTAGTTTCATTTGTTCCAAGTGGTACAGTATGATATACTGTTATATTATTTTATTAGTTACCATTTATATTAATTACTTACTTTTGCTGGAGTATAAGATAGATATTGCTATTATACCTTTGCTGAATGTTTAACTTTCTCTTTAAGGAGACCATTATGATCGAGCTCGTCGCCTCCAGTCTAAAATGATGACAAATTTGGCAATGGCCAAGGACCGTTTGCAGCTGTTAGGTACTACTTAACGTTGTTACTTTAGAAAATTGTAAAACTGATAGTGTATATATTTAAGATTTATTAATAATGAAGAGAAAAATGATTTAAAACTATTTTTTTTAAAAAATGAAACATGTTTCACCAATAGATTTCATTTTGTATCAATGTACTTGTTTAGAGATGCAAGTATACTATCAAAATTTGGCCTCTTGATATTTTAAAGGGGAAGCTGAAGAACTAGTGAGGAGTTTGTTTTTGGGTTTTTTTTGCAAAAAACTTTTTAAAATGCAGCATGAACGTAACTTGCTTTTTGAAATGGCTAAGCAACTGGTGCAGAATTAGCATTAATGGAAGATAATATAAAATGCATCTTAGAAGAAAAACCCATAGAGAAAAATGTTGCCAAATTTTAAGCTAAATAAGTTTTAACTGCAGATTACTTTGATGAAAAGCAGTAAATTGTTGAACAAAATAATCCTGAAATCAGTTCATGAATATAGACCTTTACAAAATACTTAATGAATTCAGTGACACATTATCATAAATTGAAATCTTTTAAATCAAAGCATGTATTGATTGAAGCAAAATTAAACTAGACAGCAGCAAAAATGTCCGAAGGGGCCAGGAATGAAACATGTAATGATCTCACGAGGCAAGCTCTGCAATTTACCTACTTGGATCAAAAGTTAGGATGCAAATAAGGGTTGGGTTTTATCACATCATCACGTACGTGTTATTTTCAGTCATCACAATTAGCTGTGGACTTCTAAGGATAGCAGTATCTAAACTAATTTATTCTCTGCTGGCTTTCTTGAAAATGCTGTTAAATCATTTATCCACATTACATGGTTTATGTCTCATAGGGTTGAAGCTGGGATAGCATGCTTGGCTTTGCTTATTTATTAGGAGAAATAAGGACATAGAATTCCTACCTAGAAAAGATGAAGCTCCTAAACCAGATGGGTTATGATTTTGTAAATCCCATTTACTATCTCTTTAGCTACTTTGATTGTTTTAGGAAGCCAGTATTAACTGAGAAATATAGATTAAAAAAATACAGTAGATACTTTCCTTAGGTTTCCTAGCTGTTCTTTCAAACAGTTGTAGTGCGTTCTCAATGTGTTTCTCATGATTATCCAATTATTTTTTGGACATTTCTTTTGTAATTAGTCTGGTAGATCTAGTTGCCATTTTGTATTAGGTAGCTTCCATAGCCACCATTTTGTTGTGGGACCCAACAGTGTCTTAAAGTTCAAATGTACCTCAGAGGCTAAAAAGATTGGGAATCCTTAGAGTACAGTAAATAAAATCAGGAGCAGAACATTTTAAGGTTGGAGGAATGGTGCCAATAAGATTGCGTATGTGTATGTGTCTGTGGTTTGCTAAAATTGCATCTCTAAATGTCATTGACTGTGGTCAGAAAAATTGTGAGATAGAAATATATAAAAATACATGCTTGATAGCCAATGACAAACAAACTTTTTAACAAGAATAATGTTGGGCAGCTGCAACATATGTTGGATTAAAATAACTTGCTATTAAGTATGAGGTGTCAAACGTAAACTATAATCCTATGGTGTGGAATTGTACCTTTGCTGATTCCTCACCCTTTCCTGTACCTGCAGCTTTGATAATAGTGAGTTTTTTCCCCCACAGGGCTTATAGAATATAACTTTAGTGTTTTCCTGAAAGGTTTCCAATTGCTGTTGCTCTTTTCTGGATGCCTGGAGCAATCTAGAGTGTGGGCCATGACAAAGCATAGAAATTTAGCTATATTTTTAAGGTGCTATAGGACACTACTTTGTTTGGTTTTGCTGTTACAGATATAAAAAGGCTACCTCATATAATGTTTCTAACAAGATAAATAGGCAAAAATATACCCCAGCATTTTTGAGTTGACAGAGCCAGGTCTTCAAGCATTTACAAAAGGCCAGGAAAGTGGCAGCCTGCCTTACCTCTTACCTTTGATGGGAGGATATTCCAAAGGGTGAGGACAAAGGCAGAGAAGACTCTCTACCTGGACCCTGTCAGTCAACATTCTTTAACTGATCCACAGCATACTTTCCCTGCCGATTCAAGTGAGACAGGCCAACATAATAGGGTGAAAATGGTTCTGTAGTAATCTGGGCCCATGCCATGCAGGGTTTTTAAGGTCTTAACCAATATCTTGAATTGGATCCAGAAGCAAACTGGCACTCAGTTCATTTCACACAGCAGAGGTGTTACATGCATCATCCTAGGGGCATCTAAAGTTGTTTACGCTGCCGCATTCTATATCAGCTGAAGCTTCTGGGTGCTTTTCAAGTATCTTTGTCACTTGTGAATTAGAAGATAAAATAGTACTTGCAGACTGTTGGTCAGCTTTTAAACAGTGTATTGCCTTCCAGGAAGGTTGAGCATCAGTCCCACATTTCAGTTCTGTTTATAATTGAAATCCTCTCTTATTGGATTTAATTTTAGCTTATTCGGCCCATTCAAGTCATTTTCCAGAATTCAGTTGCTTTCTTGGAGTTGGATGATAGGGAGCACCAACTAATATTTATGATATCTTACTCTGAAACTCTCCAGGACGATACCGAACAGAATAGGGGGCAGGATACAACTGTTTGGGACTCTAGTGTTAATGATTTAGATGTGGAAGATAGTGATCCAACACTACCTTTTGAACTAGGCCTGTAAGGAATTACTGGAACCTGCAAAAGAGTATTGCAAGGCCCACATCAGTCAGAATATTTCAGATTATTTAATATTTGCGCAGATCTCCCCAGGTAAAAAGAGTGTTTTCAATAAAGGTCTTATTAGTTCCTTTAAGCTGAGAGAGACTATCACTTACAAAGAGGTACTGATAATTGTTCTTAACCTGAGGCCAGTTGAGTAGGTAGTTCCTAGTTTTTATATTGCCATACACCATTTGCATCCTTGTGATGTGCAAGCCAAAGCAATACAAGCAATTGTATGGGTTATATCCCTAAGACCTTCCTCAGCAATGATATTCATTCAGTTCAAGTGGGTCTTCTCAGTTTTAACTACAGAGAATAATATGTTCTGGCTCCCTTCAAAGGAGATGTCACACACTGAGAAATGCAATGCTTTTCTGCTCTGTGTAAATATAATGAGGTAGAGGTATAAATGTTTTTTTCCACCATGATATTAAACATCAAATTGATCTTCAGATCTATTTGATCTATGGCCTAAATTCCTTCATTTATTCTTCAGCTGTTATCCTGTCCTTTTCATTGATTTCCCAGCTCTTTAATAAACAGTTTGGATCTGTAAAGGGAAGAAAGCACTTAGAAATAAAAGTAGCTTGAAAATCTATGTATGGTTTTGCTACTGATATTCTTATCCATAGTATATAATTGGCAGTATGCCCAGTTTCTATTTCCACTCAGCTGTGTTATCAGTAATTCTTGTGGGAGGTCAAGATTTTATGTGTAAGCAAATATGAGTCCTGTGAATTATGTTTTGAAATAAACGTGAAGGCAGTGGAATTGTTTCATTACTGATTATATTTTTCATGCATATGAACAGTAGCTCTAAACTAGTGTTTTACCCTTGAGGTGAATAAAGGAAGTATAATTTTCATACAACTTTTAGAAAGGATTTAGCAATCTTAATGAATTGTCTTAGATCAGCCTTTCTCAAAAATTTTACTCTGGAGAAACCTTTGAAATAATGTTTAGATCTTAGTGAATCCTTGCATAAACAAGTATTTTTCGCAAAAAATTATGAAAAGTTCACAATACAATTATTTGTAACCTACACAACCCACATTTGTCACCATTTACAACAATAGCAAAGTGTTGGGCCAGAAGCTGAGTTGTGATGTGTAAAAATCCCCATCATTATGAATGCTAGCATTGCATTTGTTAAAAAAAATGTTTTTCCAATCATGATGTCTTACAGAATCTTAGAGACCTCTTGCAGATTCCAAGTTGAGAAAGGTTGATGTAGATGTTATGGAATAAATGTTCTGTATATATATATGTCTTTGCCATGTGATGAAATGACCATCTTTTTGACTATGGACTGTTGGGTAATAGTATACAAGAAAGGACCATAGAGAAGAAATGTGAGATAGGTATCACAGTCTTCAGTTTCTTTAAACTTTGGCCATCTTATTTAATATTTTAGGAAGGGCTGAGTAAGAATCTTTTTTCAAAAAAATGCATATATTAAAAATTGAATTTGTATTTTGTGTGATGCCTATTTTAGTTAAAGGTATATTGCAGTACCCTTTTACGTGAAAATATATGATAGTATCAAAAAGGAATCTAGGTTGTTCTGAGATAGTGACAAAGTTGTAATTACGGAATACCATTTTTTAGCTAAATGTGTATTGAAGAGCTATTGTTTTTTTTAAATGGTTTTATTTTTGAAGTACAAAAAAGATGGGTATTGATCTGTTTTCTAAAAAAAGAAAAGGAGCATGACTTTACAAAGGGGTTATTTGTGAATCTAAATATTGCTGACAGTCACATTCAGGATGATATCTAATAAGTTGTTCATTTCAAAAGGTGATAACTGATAACTAAAAGTAGTATAAGGAATAGTGGAAGTTTTATAATTTTTTAATGATCACTTGTGAGCTTCATCTGTCTAATTCTGTTATAATGCAGTGCTAAATCTTATTGATAGAAAAGTAGTAATTTTATTTCAATTATGTAACAATTACTTAATAATTAGGGAATGTTCACTTGATCAAAAAGGAGGGCTCTTGTGCTCTTATTTATAGAATTGTGTAGCAACTTGAAATAACCTGTAGATTACAAATATACATTAGCTGCTTAAAATGAAATACTTATCATAAACAAATATTTGTTAACAAAATTTAGTATAAATATAGCTGCAGATTGAACCAACAAGTTGTAGATTGTCTTAGATGATATGTAGAACTCATCATAATTCTTTGCACATTAATTTTAAAGTACCCCACTAGTTCTTTTCTTTGCTATTTTTAAATACGCAGTTATTGACTGCAGTTCACAGTTTTACATACATTGTATTTTATTAATCAGATTTGACTTCATAACATTGTAAACATTAGCTTTGTAACTTTAATCCTAATCAAGCCAACTAAAAGCAAAATCATTTTGGTATTACCAGTATACGTAACTTTCATTGGTTCATTTTTTGTCTTTTATTTGTCCTTTTTCCTCCCTCTGTTCTGTTGCATAGAGAAGATGCAGGCAGTTAAGCCAATTCCCAAGCTGCAAATGGAAGTCCGTAGTGACAATACTAACCTGGTATGCCGCAATGGACATCTCCAGTCAGGTGGGTTTGGTTTTCCCAGCACCTAATTAATTAGGGGGATGTCTCTCATATCTACCGTATCAAAACAAAATATGCAGCAATAAAACAAGAAAATCCTACTGATTATGTTACCTAATCTGGTAACGAAACATTCAGAAACTAAATTGAAACAAGCTTGGAGAGCAAACCATTGCCAAAAACTAAAACTCGAGCTATGGGTATTTTCTATTATTACATAGTACCTTTATCACATCTCAAATTCCGAATTTATTTGAAATCCACATTGGCTGTGCTTTTAACATATAAGGAATCATTGTATAAAATCATTAACCAATTGGGTGTTGGATATTATGATAATATACATAGTATTGAAGAGATATGTACTAAACAGGCAAATATTCTATCTCATTTTTATACTTGGGTCAGGTGAGGCACTGTAAATACTAAAATGTTATTTAGAATCAACAGTGGGCTTGTACAAAGACCAGGAGACTGAAGATCTTGTCAGGAGCACAAATAGAAAATGGTTGCCTAGCGAAGCAGACATCAACCCATTTTGGCTAGAATGCCGGTTGATGATACATTGGTCCAGTTGATATTACTGTAATATTTTTATTTAACATACACTTGTATCTAAGTTCAATGCATGGTCATCCCCCTCCCGCCAAAACCCAAATTCTGTTGTTCAATGGTGTGAAATATTTTCACTGTTTGAGCCAGATGGGCCAGTTTCTGTGTAATCTTAAAAATAATTATTGCATGGTTTTATTTATTTATTAAATTTATTTGTTGCACATCTCACGGTTCAAGGCAACTAAGTGGCTTACAACAAGTGAGCATCTTTTAAGTTTTAGTTATCCACTCCACTGTCTGGTGAAGCTTGTCTGGAAATCTAGTTAGTACTTCATCTTTTCACTATTTTTAAACAGAATTTAAACTCTTATTTGGAGCCGGGTGTCCTGAGCCCTAGTTTTTCTATAACTTTCACAGACATTAATATAAACTTCTTTGTTACTCTTGTGTCTCTAGTATCCATCTGATAGAGTCTTATTCCTAGGCATCTTACATGGTGTCTTTGCTGCCATCTTTTAGATATCAAAGCAAATAATGTTGACAACTTTATTGTTGCTTGATTTGTCTGATACTTTTTAATCCTTTATGATTCATTCTGAAAATATTTGAGAGGTGCTACATATTTTGCATGTATTTTTAGTTTTAATTATCTCCATTTTAAAGCTGATTTTTTTATTTTTAAATATTTATTTATAAATATATATTTTATTGACTGTTGTATACTAGCCAGAGTCACTTCTCATGAGTTGGGTGACCATATAAATTTGATAAATAAGTGCATAATGTTAAGTGAAGAGTGAATCTAACTTTCTAAGATGCATTCAGAAATATTTTAACTGCTTGCTTTCTTGTTGATAACCTTTATCAAATAATCTAGAATAGTGAAAATATAATTAGGTAAAAAAAGTCCATATATGTTAATTTAATTCCACTTAGATACAAAATTTCACTGCATTGGTCAGGGGTGGGTAATCTTTTGCCATCAAAGGAGGCATTCTCAAGACAGTAATCTGTCAGGAGCCATGTGTCACTGGTAAATGGGACGTATGTAAGTAGTGGGACAATATATTCCTTTAGAGTTTTTATATTGGTCTTCATAGTTACATTATACCTTTCTTTTTATGCTTCTGTAGATGTACCTTTTTTGCTGAATTTTTGATTATAGGTAGTCCTCATTTAATGACTGCTCTGTTTAGCGACCATTCCAAGCTATGGTATTGTATAAAATAACTTTCTGACTGGTCCTTGTACTTATGATTCTTGCAATATCCCTGTAATCACGTGATTGAGATTTGGTGCTTGACAGCCTGTGGCTCTTTATGACTGTTGCAGCATAGCACAGTCACATGATCACCATTTGATTGCTCTACAGCTAACTTATGACAAGCAGAGTCAACGGAGAAGCCAGCGGTAAAATTGCAAGTCACAGCCATGTGATGTCTCTCTCAGTAATGGAGTTGGTGATCCCAATTGTTGTTGTTAAGCAAAGACAACCTGTACTATCTTTCATTCTAAATTCATGTTGCTTGAATACTAAATTCATGTTGCTTGAATACTGCAATATTTGTACACTACCTGGTCAAAGTTCTAAGAGTTTTTTTTAAAAAGAAACTATAAGAATTCTTAAGCTTTGGACATTTTTAGTATACATAGTGTAGCCCAGTGTTTAGATATGTTGGCTATGCCTGCAGGAAATGATAATAGCTTTAGTTCTAAAATTTTCTAACAAAACTTAGAAAGCTTAGCTTACTCAATAAAATTTACAAAATACCAGTGCAAACAGAAAGCAACATTATTAAAATAAATCATGTTATGTTTCAGAGGTGGTCTGTTCACACTGATAATGAGTTTATCCACTTTTCTATAATGGCTAAGATAAGTACATTAAATTGTGTGTTTTTATATTATTGTTTATTTTGTATTATGAAATTTAACCCTATGTTATTACCTAGAGTTGTTTTGTGAAATCAGTCTTATAAATCAATTAAATTAATAGATGGTAACAATTTAAAAATAAGTAAATGTGCAACTAGTTGACTTGAATGTTTTGCGTAGTAACAAATTTGTTCTTTTTCTTTGTAGAAAATGGAACTGTTCCGAAAAAGAAGGATCCATTGTCTCACAGTAGTAATTCACTTCCTCGTTCAAAATCTGTGGCAAAGGCTGGATCCGGAGGATTTTCTGGGCACCAAAGAACACCTAGTTATACCGGAGTTTCTAATTTTTCTGCACCTAGAGTTCCTTCAGCTGCAACTCAGAAGGTAGGACATTAGCTTCTATGTATAGTATATTGCATTTGTCAGTTTAGGAAATAGAAAAATTGCAATTCAAAATTAAGGAATTGCATTTTATAAATGGCATGTTTTGCATGCAACAAAATCTAAGTTCAGTTATTGATATTATTAGGAAAGGCTGGTAGAGACTGTTATCTAGAATATACCATACAAGCTAATGGAGCAAAGATGTGATTTACTATAAGAGAATTGTATAAGTTTGTAATCCCTAACTCATTTTAGGAAGAAAGACTACTTCATGTTATTTTGCTCTTAATTTTGATTAAGGTTGTGGATGTATCAGTAGAAGATATCTGCTATAAGAGTAGAAAAATACTTTTCAGTGATTTGACAGAAAATAACAAGGGGAAGAATGAATTCAGTATATAGCAGAGGTCTCCAAACTTTTGGGCACCAGGGACCGGTTCTGTGGAGAGAGGTTTTTCCATGGACTGGAGGGTGCATGGTTTAGTGTGCTGCCTGCATTCCACAGATGGGGCTTTCCTTGTTTGTGCGGACGGGGTGCTGGCATGCTACGGCCCAGTACCGGTCCACAGACCGGTGGTTGCGGACCCCTGGTATATATTCCCCATTTTGCCGATGGGAGGCTTCTACCATTGGAAATAGCTGGATTCTGCCCATATTTTACAAGCTGGCAACTGGGTTGCAAAACTGCTCCAAGGAGAAGGGGTGAGAAATGATTTCTGGGTTATGGGTATTTGCAAGAAGATGCCTGGAAAATATTGGCATGAAAAAATATATGGAGAAGAGGAAGCAAAATGATCAAAAATGTAGAACACTTTTTTCTGTTGGAAAAGCTAAAATTTGTCATTTTTAAAATTAATATAAAGTCAATGTTGTATGATGCACACAGATATTTTTATTCTCAGTATAGTAGAACTATTAAGGATAGTTAAGAATTCAACTATTCCAATTTATTTTGCTGACAGTTTTAAAACCATAGATTTAGAAAGTGCATATGGTGATACTGAGTTCATTTTCTTCTGGGTTTATTATTTTCAGAGTAGAAAAAAATAGTTTAGAATATCACTGCCATAAACTTAAAGTGGTAATACAGAGTTCTTATACAGATTTTACCTTTGCTTTTAATCAGCATGCTATGTGAGACATTGGAAGGAAGGATTATTACATTTTGTCTCTTATTTATTCAAACAATTAGTTTTTTAAAAGCAATTAAATCTTTGATAAATAATATGGGATATAAGTTTTTTTGTTTAGAGATATAGAACTCTACTTATCTACAGAATAATTATGCATTTTACTATAACAGTTCCTTTCCACATTCTATTATATATTTATGCTCTCTTTTTTCTTTCCTTTCCTGAATTTATAACAATATGTTATATTACCACGGAGAAAATATATATGGTTGCTAAGAATTGACATTACCTTTATGCCACATAATCAATCTTTCATTTCTTTTGCAACATTTAATTGTTTTTTCTGTATTTTTTTAAGTAAAGTTAACTTGTATCATATCAAAGGTTTGTTTAAATGATTAGCCAGATGCTGAATGGAAATTTGCTTCCTTTAGATTACTGAAACTGGTATCTGATTCTTTTTTTAAAAATAATTTTGAAATACATTTGAAATAATCATTTTCTTAGGCTACTCCCAAAAATAATAGAACCACCAAGCCTTCTACTCCTTCATCTGCTGTACGAAAAAAGAAAGACACGAAGATTTTCAGAAATGTGGATAGTAACCTTGCTAATCTTATTCTCAATGAAATTGTAGACAGGTAAATGCCAGCAGTATTTTATGGGTGGATGGTGGGATGGGAATGCTTTTTAGTAAATATCCAGTGTAATTATTTTCAAGGCAAGTAATGTTCATATTTTTTTCTGCATCTGTTTAAGATTTGGATCGGAAGAAATGAAAATAGTCTTAAAAATAATAATATTTAACATACAGTACATGAGAATAATTTCTTAACTGTAAGGGTTTTTCTTTAAAATAAATCAGTTGAGACAAAGAGTGTGAAATACTCAGCTGCACTCTGGAAGAATGAGATGCCTATTGTTGCACTAATTACTATTCTGTATTTGTTAGTGGGCCATCTGTCAATTTTGATGATATTGCTGGGCAGGAGTTGGCTAAACAGGCACTGCAAGAAATTGTTATCCTTCCATCACTTAGACCTGAAGTAAGCAATCTGTTTCCTGGCTTGTTTTATTGCATCTTCTATGTTTTCATTATCTGGTAGATTTTACTTGGATTTTTTTAAAAAATTTAACATTTTGGATGTATTCAAGTAACATGTATACTTATTATATTTGCATCTATTATAATGTGTAATTATTACTCACAGTTTTGTGAGTATCAAAGTCCAATTGGAGTATATGATTAAATGCTGGAGTAAAAGCTTTTATTGGTCCAATACTTTGATTGTATTCCATAGATTAATAAGTAGGAATTAATCACATGCTCAATAATGAGCTAAAATCAATGTTATCTACTCCCCCACTATACATTCAGGCTGCTAGGACTTCAGTAGTAAAGTTTAAACAAAGCATAATTATATTTTCAGTTAAAACAGTTCTAGGTCCTTCCAATTGGCATCATCAATTTCTAAATGAAATTCTGCTGAAAATCCTCCCTTCCTAGGAAGAGAGGGAGAAACAATTTTAATAATCATCTCTTCATATGCACCACCTACCACTGACTCTTCCATATTCTCCAGATGGTCAATTTTTAGAACCAGATTTTTTTGTTCTAGGAATCTACAGTAGAATGGAAGAACTGACAAAATTGCTCTTCTATTCTGCCAGTGAACTTGCTGAGCTGGATCAGAAACCTAATGAAAGTGAAAGTTGCCCTTCTGTTTAGTTTGTTGGCAGGCAAAGTGTATCTCCAAACCAGTATGAAAGATACAATCAGTCTACAGATAATCTTTGACTTATGACTGTAATGGAGCCTGCCCATTAACAGCTGCAAGCAGTGATGACCATTAAATAAGATGGCCATTCTTAATAACCCCCAGCCTTCCTATCTCTGCTGCAGTTTGAACATTTTTGAACACAACTTTCAGAAAATAGTTTTGATTTGACTCTTAAAAATTTGCAGGTGAATATTTGATTTAGAGTTCATACATATAAATATTTGACCAAGTCATCTTGGTTTCTAAATCTTTCAGTAGACTTTGGCACCAGAGTTCAGATTTTGCATTTTCGCATCAATTGACAATTGAAATAACATCACCATTAATAAGTAGTTAAGTGCAATTAGTCCAGGTTCAGTTCTCTGGCAATTGAATGAACAAATGCTTGCCATTGCAATCCATCTCTAATAATAGAAGGTGGGAAAATGTAATCTAAATTACCAGAAACCATATTCTTGAATATTTAAAAATCAAATGGTAATTAAATGTTGATTTTGTTCTGTAATTTATATGTTTTATATTTGCCTATGAGGCATAATTCTTGTGTTTCATTGTTTGTTAAAAAACCCTGCTTGTATCCATTTGGTGTGAATTTTTGAGATGTGAATTTTGATGATGCGTGGCTATTGTAGTCTTTTCTTATTAATGTTTGGTCTCTTGTGAAAAGTATCACAATGAAAGTCTAAAGACCTCCATTGTGTTTCATTTATATACTATTGTACATCAAATTTTTCACATCTTAGTTACATTCTCTTCAAGCTATATTTAAAGATACTGCAAGAAAGAAAAATTGACAAGTTTGTTGTTGATGCTATAATACAATCATTCCAACTAATATATGCTGTATGTTATATGTTCATTCTCTTAAGATAAAGACTAAAGGCAATTAACAAAACAAATCCACAGTATATATTGCTGGAACAGCCAATTTGAGGCAGTTTTGCTGTCTCTTTTTTCTTCTATCAGATGTCTTACACCTAGATATTGTGAAGAAAACGTTGAAAATAGGCTATAATAGCATTAGTTGCTTGAAAAATGATTTAACAAGTTATAATAGTAAAAAATTAAATTAATTCTATTCTAGAAAGTGTATTGTTTGTATAGCACTTATAGCTTGTTGAGTTCCAAATAATATCTCTTAAATTTAGTAATTTAAGGATTCATTTTATAATTTTCTTTTGTATTATTTGATTCTTTTTGTCTGTGGTCTGTTTTGGCCTATTTTTCCTTGACTCTTATCAAGCAGAAAAAAAGAGAGCTCAGGGGCAAAGTATCCAGTGATCTGGATGGCCAGTGTTTTTAATATCTTCTGCAAAACACATTACTAATAACTTCTCTCAGCAGTAAAATTACTAAAATGGAACAAAATGTAACTCAGTCGATCTTCTAGTTATTTACAGGACTTAGGGCTCCTGCACGTGGATTGTTGTTGTTTGGCCCACCAGGAAACGGGAAGACGATGCTGGTAAGAGAGCTGCTTTCCTCTATCACGTGGGCAGGCAATGTCCTCTTTTGTTCCCCCAGAACGCCTTCTAAATCTGTTTATATTTGCTGAAAATTGGTAGTGTGTTTTTCTGTCATTTTAAGACAGGAAACAAACATGTGTACACAAGGAATATTCTGTCCTATCATTTTGAAATAAGAGAGTAGTTCCATGTTGGGTCATGGGTACTCCAGTTGGAAGACTGCTCAGAATTTCACAGTATCTTACAAGAAAATGTAAATTCTGAACTATATCAGCAGACATTTAAAAGTGTAACATATGTTGCTAAAGATAGATTGAAATTTACAGTTCAGCAGAACTCTGGCTAATAAGGATAATTATATTACGCTTACACATAGCTGAAAGATGCTATATGTTTTGTATTATGTTGCAGTCTTAAACCAGTATTTTTTTTAATATAGGCCAAAGCAGTGGCTGCAGAATCAAATTCAACCTTCTTTAACATAAGTGCTGCAAGTCTGACATCAAAATATGTGAGTAGCAATATTATATTATGGTTGTGGTTAAAGAGATATCTTAGGAAGTTTTGAAAAAAAAATAAATGGAGCTGCATTTGTACCAGATTCCAGTACATTGGAAATAACTATCTGTTTCTAAACTATTTCTAATTTTACATCTACATCTGTGTCAAATTTTATTCCACTGGAATATGTAAAGTCAGTTTCGACATAATATTTTCTAGAATCTTCTTTTAAAAAGTCACAGAAGGGAAGGGGGAGAATTCAGTAAATACAGGGAGACTTTTTACGGACACACCTACTTCAGGAGAACCTGTACCACGATGTCTTTATTCATACGACTTTTTTCCGAAATAAACACACGGACCGACATCTCTCTCCATCTTTACCTTTAAAATTTGAATGTTTTAAAAATAATTTAATTATATTAAATATAGTAATTTAATGTCAGAGTCATAGAATAGATCAAGCTAGTTGTGTTTTAGTATCCACTGATAATATGCCTGTTGTTAAGCATGTTATTCAATCAATTTGAGGTAGATATCTTCTTTGTTTTTTTTCCCTTAGGTTGGTGAAGGAGAGAAACTAGTCCGTGCACTTTTTGCAGTAGCTAGAGAACTTCAGCCTTCTATCATTTTTATTGGTAAAATTTCATGTATCTGACTAGTCAAAATTTTGACTTAAATTTAAAGCATAAACCTTTTAAAAATAGCATTTCATTGAGAATAACTATTTACTATCCATTTTATTAGATTGAGTTGAATTGCAAAAATATGTTCTTAATCCACAGTTTTAAATTTATTTCATTCCATTTATGATAATTCATACTGGAGAACAGGATTTTTTTTTAAAAAACAAAATTTTCCCCAATTAATGACCTTGACAGGTACATGTTAATTTTCTTAACCAATGAATCAAAATGGATTCCCATTACCTTCTCTTTTTTCTAAACTTCTTGGTCTAGCCTCCTATCATAAGATTTCCTGATGGGTCTCCTAGTCAGGTACTAACCAGATCTGCTTTGTTTAGATTTTTAAGATAAGCCATGTTTGGCTAAGTGCTGCGCAGATAATATATTAATAACCTGGACCATACATTTTAATTCTTGTCGTTCCTAAAAATGTTGGTAACTTACTTAAGAGCTCTTGAACAATATATGCTGTTTAGAATATAGAGTATTGCATTATATAAACAATTGTAAACTGTTTTAAAGTATACATTTACTATTGATTGCATATTTTCAGCCATGTATTCAAAATGGACAGTGATATATACATATATGTATGTGTGTGTGAATATATATATATATGTGTGTGTGTGTGTGTGTGTATACATATACATACAAACGTATATGTGTGTGTGTGTGTATGTATGGGTAGATATACAGTATACTTTCTTTTGGGAGCAGGCAACAGAATTTCATTTTTAATGTGTGTCACTGTGCTCACAGTATAAAATGACAAGCTATCTTATTTTATATTTATATTTTAGATGAAGTGGATAGTTTATTATGTGAAAGAAGAGAAGGTGAACATGATGCTAGCCGACGTTTAAAAACAGAATTCTTAATAGAGTTTGATGGTGTAAGTATTAATTGTGGAACAGTATTACGGTGCTGAGTGTTAAAGGCAGTTATATAGTATTTTTAACTCTAAAGATTAAACTTTTTATTATTATTTTTTAAAGAAAACAGTCAAGCTAAAAGATGAACTGTTGCTGTTCTTTGCCCCCCCTTTTTTGCTAAGCTTTAAGTATTTTTCAATGTGCTTGCTGTTAAAATTCAAGACCACCAAACGCAATGAAATTATTTACATGTTTACAATGTAGTCTACAGTGAAATACAGTTTTCATACATAAGAGCAAAGTGGTATGTTTTGCCAAGTTTCAGGGCAGCTATCAGGTTCTTTTGGATCTAGAGACAGTAAACACACTAGTGAATAAAATGACTTTAAGCTTTATTATTACCTCAGGCAGAGTTAAAAGCATACATAACAAGCAAGATAATACCCAAATCTTTTACAAACTGCCAGGAGCATCTTAATAACAACAGCAGAAATACCACAAGGGCGACCAGTTTCCACAGTACCCATTGCTAGGTCCAGTGCAGAAGCTCACAACAAACAACATCCCTGTCAACTGTCCTATACATTAAACAGCAAAAGAAACTCCTGGGACATTTTTTCTCCCAATAATGTAACTTTACTGAAAAGCCATATAGGTACAGAAGTAGAAAAGTCAGTTCTGATGTTTTCGTGCACAAACCTCCCATTGTCCATCTATCAGTTGCACTTGCTTTATTTTGGAAACAGCCTGTCTGCCTCGGACATGCCCAGTTAATGACCTTGGGGTTTGGGTCTGTCTCACACTTCCCGGTGGTACACTTGCATTCCAGAGTTCCCTCACAAACTTTCCTTACATGCCAATGCCTCCCCTCTCCCCTCCCGTTACTATTATCTGGTTGTGAGCAGGGTTGCGTAGTGAATCAACCATGACAAACCCCACGTTTTTTATCAAAACCTGGTATCATGACTGTTATTGACTGTTATTGTCAGGAGACGGCAAGACCTCCCCTTGACTTGGTGGTGTATGACTCTCACAGTGAGAAAAGTTTTGAAACTACCTGAAGATTCCCCTCCCCTTTTCTCCTTTATTCAGTAAACAAGAAAAAAACCTTCTGGACTTTTCCTAATAAGGAGAAAATCATAATATGTCATTAAACTCCTCAAAATAATAATGGTTTCTGCATTGCCACTACATGGTGATGTGCAAATGGCTTGTTCCCAATTACAACAATATATATTTTATTATAGTGTGATGTTTCCTTTTCTGATTCTATCTGAATTTTGCTTTCTGGGGGTTTTTTCCATGTCAGAAGTCCTCTTCTAGCGTAAAATCATTACCCTCGTTGGTTATCCGGTGTCCTCGAACTACTACGACATGAGTCCATAAAATTGAGTACGTATTAATTAATCCTTATATATTACATTTAAATGGAAACTACGATAAGAACTTGTGATTAAACTATGCGGTACATATTTCATATAAACAAAATCATTAAAATGAAAAAAATGCACAGTAAATATTTTCCTAGATGATATATTTACTGGAAATATTGTTGGAATGAATTGTTGGAAAAATTTTCTAACTATATTTTGATACAAATCAATGATTTATCTTCATTTTGCTACTGAAGACAGGTTAAATATACCAAAAATGGAATATAAACTTCTGTTCACTGAAAATGGAGAGATATTTCTGGCTAAATGCCGTTGTGTTTCAAAACATCTCTCAGTTCTCAGATGTCCCTTCTTACATGTATATCAGTTATTTCAAAATAACTGACCAAATTCTAGTCATCATAGAGGGAAGAATCCCAGCTGCCAGGAAAATTTAGTTTTCCTATGTATTTTGGAATATTTATTGCTTTTTCAAGGATACTGTAGAAACGTACACAATACAAAAGACACAAGAATGACTTGCAATACTGGAGTCTGAAAACAGTAGTTCTAAAAATGGGCAATTCAGTAGAAGTTAATACTATCTTTCTTGACATTTGAGTTTAAAAAACAAAAGGATATTTTTTGTAAATAATTTGTTTAATTGTTTATAATTTGGGTTATTTTATTTTAGACTTTGACTGGGTTCAGGTCGTCCTCGACTTACAGCCATAATGTAACCCAAAATTTCTGTTGTTATATCATGACAATCATAAGTTAAGGCAGGTACATGATTTTATTATGGTTTTTGCAGCGGTCATTAAGCAAATCCATTGTCTCGCAATGGGCGTAAATGCCAGTTTCCAGCAAAACACACATCAATCATGGTCATGTGAGCGTGGATGCTGCAAACAGCAGGCTGGTTTCCAAGTGCAGTCAAAATGCAGTCATGTGACTGTGGGGTGGTAGTGGTGGTGGTGGATGCCAGCTGTTGGAACTTCAAATCCAGGTCACAGGTAATTTTTTGCGGGGGTCTGTTGTAACTTTGGATGGTTGCTAAGCGACTGGTCATAAGTCAAGGACTACCTGTATATATTGAAAATTATTCTGGTATCAATTTTTGCATTGTTTCTGTTTTTATGGCACAATTGAAAAAGCAACACATTTTCTAAAATGTATTGGGCTTGGATTTAAAATTTATTAATGACACTTGTGATTCCTTCCTCCTCCTATTGTTCATGACAACACCCCTTTTTTCACTGTTACATTCTAATCAGTAAAGCCACCCTGAGCTATATATTTTATGAGTAAGATGTCATTTTTATACAATTACTAATTTATTTAAAAATAAATTATGTATTAATAACAATTATTAAGTTAGCCAATTAAATTGGCACATTCATACAGAATTGGAACTTAGACCTACAAAATAAATACCCACGAAGTAAATGCAATTAAGTGAAAAGTACAGCTGCTTTGATGTTGAATTGAGGCTTATTTATTTCTATTTGTTTCCCGTTTTCTCATTTTCCCGTTTTCTCTCTTTGTGTCTGTGTTCCACTTTCTCAAGCCCAGTGTATCTTTCTTCCTCATCATCTCATATACAATTCTCACTTCCCAGAGCCAGCTGGGCTGATAACAAAATGTGAACTTGAAATTCTAATGTTAATTGCTAGCAATACAAATAGTGCCAATTTTAAATTTTAAAGTTAAAAAATCAATTTTTGCTAACCACAATCCCGGTTTGAAACTTTTATCATCTCTGGAATCTTAAGTAGAACTTTTATATTAATATTTATTTTTCAGGCGATTCACCAAACGAGTATATGTATCATTACCCAATGAAGAGGTATGTGATATTTTTAAGTAAGAATGTCTCTTATTCAATTATTGAATGTAGACTAATAATACAAAAATTGGTTTGTTCATGTTTAATTATAGGATGAATGCTTCTATCACAAGGGCTACTAGAATCTCTATAATGATACTCTTTTCCTTTTGTTTTCCTTCTTTTTTATCCTTTGCCTTTGTCAATTGTCCCCTTTTGGCTCATTTCCCTGCCCTGTAAATTTTCTTTCTTAACTATCTGATTATTTTCCTATAAATAAGTTGCAATTTGAACCTAGATTGTAGCTGAAAGACAAATTACCATTACATCAGAATTAATCAAAATGTGGATGGAAGTTTAACTGTCACTATATCAATTTTGAGAATGCCTTATTTGTAAAAGGACTGCATAAGTAGAATTCATCTTTCTGCTTTGCAGTTTGCTTATTTTTCATATATCTGGAAATCTAAGCTTAGACTTTTATGCGAAAGAAAACTTTCAAGCAACAGGCAATTAAGTTTAAATGGTATATTTGCATGTGGGCCAAGCCAAATCTAGTGCTTGCCATGGGATATCTATTTAAACCCACAGTGTACTAGATATTACAGCAAATTATAGCCAACTGTGAATTGTTCATTGCCTTCAGTATCAGTCCCAATCAGATTTTCATAGCTTTTCACATATTTAACGAATATGTTAAAATATGTGAGAAGCCAGGATAGTCTGATTGGAACTGGTATTATAGATTGAATAGAAGAATGCTGAACTCTTGCAATTTGCTGTGTTTCTATTGAGCTATTAGTATTTTCCTAATATTTGTATAATAGCAAGACATAGAAGCATAAGAATACTTTTAAAATGTAGCTTCACTTCTACCCCATATGATTTCAGATCTAATCTTCTTTGCAAAGTGAAAATCATTCTGCACAATTTTCAAATGTATAGTGTCTTTGCTTGCTTTAACCAAAGGTGAGATTGCAAATAGAGAATGTTATATTTTGCAGACTCGACTGCTTCTACTAAAAAATCTCTTGAGCAAACAAGGAAGTCCATTAACCCAAAAGGAATTGGCACAATTAGCTAGGTGAGTAAATTCTAACTTACTGCTAAATCTAGGTAGACTATGCATAGTAATATTTGCAGCTGTTGTTCACAAAAAGAAATGCTAAATATAACCGGCTCTGAGTAATGGCATAGACATGTTTCTCTTCCTCACTGTTTACAAAGAAACATCTCTCATCGCGTACAGTACGCTGACATCTTAAATGATAAGACTACAATTTAATATCATTAATATTAGACATTAAATATTGAAATGTCTTTCTGAACTATGGACCTAATTATTTTATCCAAAATTTTCAAACTGTTTAATTAATTTTTATTGTACTGCTTTATAAGAAAGAATGTAACACTGTAAACTTTTATTAGCTTTCTATAGAGGATATAAATTTTTGAAATTGTGTTCTCTTCTAAAGAATGACAGATGGATATTCAGGTAGTGACTTAACAGCATTGGCAAAAGATGCAGCGTTGGGCCCTATACGAGGTAAGCATGATTAGCTTTGAATAAAATGCATCTGTAAGGTGACTCGGTTAAGCTAAGATCTAAAGAAATAGTTTAGTTGGCTCAACTCTTTGCTATAGCTAGTAGCATTTTAAAAAGAATTTAAACAATCAAATTTAACTAGCTAACATTGGTTGTACTTTGTAAATTAGATGCATGCATGTATCTACATACATAGGTACACACACACAAACACACACACCCATCAAACTTTCAGTAGGATTGTAGTCTAGCACTGAGACAGTATATAACAGAATATAACAGAATTTGCAACCAATCCAATAAGGACAGGCTAGCAGTACAACATAATCAAACTAAACATTGAAACCTAGTAAAAAAATATAAAGGTTTCCTCTTTCCAGTCATGTGTCAAGCAAGAACATCTGATGTTAGCTTCTACTTTCGGAACCATGACATCATGTCTGACTCTATGGGTGATGCTCATTTCTGTTTCTTAGCCAAGAGAGCCAGTGTTGTCCAAAGACATTTTCTGTGGTCATGTCGCAAGCATGACTATACACACCGAGGCACACGGAAGACTGTTGACTGTTACTTTCCCACCAAAGTGTTGGGAAGTGGTACCTATTTATCTACTCACATTTGCATCTTTTCAAAATAGGAGCTGGGGCAAGAACGGGAACCCACCCCATCCTGCAGCGCTCGGGTCTGGAACCTGTGCTGTCCGCTTTCCAGCGGACAAGTTCAGCGTATTTTAACTGCTGAGCCCTCATGTCCCTGATAACACTAGAATAAAATATAATTATTGTGACAATAAAAAGAATAACATTAAAGTGAAGTCTAAAAAGCTGCAATAACTAGAGTGATAAAAAGACAAGATGCAAACTTATACAAATTTAGTGGATCAGATTGTTAAATCTAAAATAGTTGTAATATTTTCTTTTTGTTTTATCATAGATAACATTAGCAAATATCTATTAATTAGATGATTATATATTCATTATCTTTTAACAACAGTCTTCTTTGCATTCTATAGCAATGTATCAGAATTTGAAAATATTTAAAGAAATATTTAACTTTTTTTCTTGTTTGGGGATCTTTTAAGAATGGAAGTGAGAGTGGAAAGCCTTTTGGGAAGCAAATTTCTTCAACTTGTAAAAACTCCCCAAATCTTTGAAAGCCTAATACAGGAAGTCCTCAACTTACAACCATTTGTTTAGTGATTGTTTGAAGTTACAATGACACTGAAAAAAATGACTCGTGATTAGTTTTCACTTAATGACTGTTGCAGCATTCCCATGGTCATGTGTTCATGACCTGCCTAGAGCCTTATGATCTTCAAGATGAAGAAACATGAATTTAAAACATTTGGTTTAAACCAGCTTTATTGCCAGAATTCAGAGTTGTCTTACTTAGATATTAAGCCTTCTGACAGGATATATTGATTTGAAACTCATTAATTATGTTTCTTTTAATTTACAGAATTAAAACCAGAACAGGTGAAGAACATGTCTGCTAGTGAGGTATGTGCTTTGCTAACTTAAATAATTCAGTCATTTTGTAATCTTTTGTATTTTTATTGTTTTCAGAGCACAACTGAAAGTTCAAAATCTTTTAAGTATTTGGATACCCTTTTTTGAGAGTAGATCACATGTATTCAATTTATAATGTACTAAGTTGTCAAGCTGTTCTATGTAATATCAAAAAAAACCCAATACTACTAAAAAGCAACCAAATACCTCAAAACTATGTCACAGAAAAAAATCCTCTAAGTAGATAATTACTAACCATAATTTTATATTTGAGAACACAAATGCAACTAAAAATATGCAACACTTCATAAAGAAGACTAGACACATAGCCACTTATACAGCACTGTAGTGTAAAAATTACCGTTCCATCAGTACAGAATAGATTATTCTATTCCATCCTTCAACTTTTAGTATGCTCTGGAAAGTTCTTAAGTTTTCCCAGCTTAATGTTGAACTTCTCCCTTTCCTATTATGGCACTGTGTTAGTAGATTCTCTGTCCTCTAAATTTTCAGAGATGTGAAGAATGTAAAGACTGAAATAGGGAGCAGAGAGATCAGAATATGTTGTTGGCTTAAGCACTTTGTATTTTAAATCGTGTTAGTAAATTAGAAATGGGGGGGGGGGAATGGCCTGAAATGATTTGCTGAATTTGATTCACATACTTTAGCGCCATCTAGTGGAATCAACATAGTATTATTTATCCAAGTTGAATTATTTTTGCTCTCAATGCTGGTAGTCCCATGCTAATAATTTTTTGAAAAAATAAGTTTAATAAACAAACTTTAAATCCAATAATACGTGAGACCCAAGGCAGCTTGTTTTTTTCTTTCCTTTTAGATGAGAAACATTCGGCTGTCAGATTTCAACGAGTCTTTGAAGAAAATAAAATGCAGCCTTAGCCCTCAAACCCTAGAAGCTTACATTCGCTGGAACAAAGCCTTTGGAGACACTACAGTTTGATCAACAACTTTATCAAAGGAGGGGAGAATGTTGTCAGCAAGGGACAGCTGATTCAAACTAATGCTGAATGTTTACAAGATATCAGCAGTATCTGCACTAAAAGGCAAGACTGATTTTTAATAGTTGATGATGCGTTCCCTTAACTTTAATGCCCAACAAATTTTGAGAGCACAGTAAAATGGGGAAGAGAATTCTACCAAATGAATGATAGGAAAAATGTACGTTGTGTCCTTTTTTTGTATTTTCTAAAGGGTTGTTCATGATATTTGCTTTGGTTGTGTTTTTCTTAATCACTAAGCCTTGTTTTCAGTTTCTTTGTGTATTGATAATGTGCCAAATTAAACATAAATCCATATGCATAAGAATATTATTTTGAAAGGTCCACAATATAAAGCATCTATGTAATCTGTTCTATTTGTGAAGTTCCACAGTCAATATAGTAATACAACAAATTGGTATACCAAATGGCTTAAAGCTGTCCATTTCTTTCTGCAGGATTTTTTCAGAGCATTTATAAATATCCATAGTAAGATCTTGTTTTGGTATCATAGCCAAAATGTGAAATAGTATTAATTTAAATCAACGACAGTTTCTCTTCAGTGCTAGTTTTTGTGTCCACAATGACCAAAAGCCAGGGAATTTTCCATTCTGGTGGTTTTCTAAGATATGCAAGTGATCATAGCTGTAATTACTTGTATAATTGGTCTTTTATATCTACCATGTGCTTCAGTTTATAGTTATACAACCATTTTTAAAAAACTTTATTAAATGACTTGTAATATAATGAGCATTTAATATTAAAGGAACAGATGGATTTACTTCTCTGTCTAATAAGATTGGTGTTTACAAAATGAATAATTTATTCAATTATATGTTTGTTATAATAGAAAGGGTATGAAGTAGATATGTGAATAAAGACTTAATTCATTTTTTTAAATTTAGTAATTGTGCAAAAGGATAGAGAAACAGGGATAGAAGAGTAAGAGTAACATTTCTGTTAAAATGTTATCATTGGTTTTTGAAAAGTACTTTTAAACTTGAAGCAGGATTTTATGAACTTTATTTAAATTTTATTTGACAATACATATTATTGGCAAATCAACAATACTCTTAATCTTAAACTAAGATTTTCACATTTTTATAGAGATCTCTTCAGTTGCTTATTGAAGAAATTATGCCTTATGTGCAAAAGCAAATCTAAAAAATAAGATATTATTCTGTTTAGTTGTTACTAAATTTTGTATAAGTTATATTAAACCATCACAGCTTTATTTAAATATAATAAAAGTATATTACTTGGTTCTTACAGCTTGATTGAATAGGGCAAGTATTTTAATATCTGAAACTAATAGTAAATTAATTGTGATTTATCTTTGAGAATTTGGAAATCTAGGTTTCATAGTATTGTGGATACCCTTTAATATACTTCTCTCTTTCCCTCCAATTTTCTTTGCTTACACGTAAAGTATGTGTGTGTGGGATATGTACACATGCATGTCTCCAACTTCAGCAAATATTTGTAAGATGTACCTACTATGGAATAAATTTAAAGCCTCCTTTCCTGTTTTATCTTTGAAATAATTTCAAGGCCATCTTGATGCAGCTGAATACAGAAATAATGCATAGCATAAACATTCTTGCTAAAGCCGTTTGTTATACAATGGAGTTTCCCAACATTTCCAGCTTTGCAGACCGGCAGGGTCGGAGAGGGGATGGTTCCACACGAGTGCCTGGCAAGCATGCATGTGCAGCTCCATTTGAGCAAGCGGCGGGCATGTGTGCCTGCTGCTCGTGCACATGGAGTACCCAGGCATGTGCCTGGGCAAGTGGGGAATATGCATGCCCACGCTCACCCACCACTTCCGCAGCCTGGTTCCAAAGAGCTTATGGTCCAGTAGTGGGCTGTGGCCTGGGGGTTGGGGACCCCTGCAGGAAAAGACATTTGTGAAAGACTGATGACACTAGCTACTCCTGCTGTACATTTCATCTCTTCATACTGGTACAGTATACAATAAAGAAATCATACAGTCTTATTTAAAGTTGTATTAGATTTAACCCTTGAACAAATTATACTTGTCTACAGCTGCCTGATCATATAACTCTTTATTCTCCAGTACAGGAGATGGAGAATCCACCGATGGGTTTTCTTTGTCTGCCTGCTCTTGAGACCAAGTAGTCAAACTTGACACGCCCCCTCTTGCTGGCCAGTCTTAACTTGGTCTCAGCTCTTGTAAGACGTTTCAGGTTTGGCTCTCAGCAGATAGCAGGTCAGAAAACTCCATTGGTGAATTCTCCCTTAATTACTTAATTTGAACCAAATCCCTTATTGGTAATTCTAATTGACATCCTCTTCCCATACCTTCCTTTACACTGGGATCAGTGCTAACTTGAATTGCTGTCTGAGGAGTAGGAGGTGGGGGGGGGGGAAATCCCTGTAGCTCCTCTCCGTTTCTCCCCAGGGCTCTGGGGGGAAAACATAAAATTGGATAATCTAATCCAAGGTCATTGAACATTTTTATTTTTAAAATAATAAATAAAATTGCCTGAAATCTCAGTTAGGAATATCAGAATTGCCATTTTAAATGTACAAATACATCAGACTTCAAAAAAAAATTACTGCCTATGGAGATTCTCAATCATCCAGGTCAGGGTTGTCCCAAAGGTGCTTTTTCGAAAAGGCAACTCAACTTTTTTTTTCTTTGAAAATGTTTCACTTCTCATCCAAGGCTTTAAGTAAAGGCTGCAGTAATCTGTCTCATTTTAATTTAAGGGCTAAAACATTTCTTAATTATGCTTGCAATCAAAGCCTGATTAATTAAAGCAAAAATTTTCTCAGGCAAGAATTGTTATGCTGTTTGAATCAGTATTACTAGGAGATTTATATGTATAAAAATAGAATTAAAACTGCCAAGTCATTTCGTTTAATTCCTTTTTAAGCAAGTGCTTTCAGATGCTTGAACAGATTCTACAGATCCTAGCTAGTATATTCTCTGTATTGTAACTTATTTCATAAGAATTCAAATGGTTGAATTTTTAGCTTCGTGTATATTATCTTTGATAAAGGCAATGCTACTTTTCTTATTCTTAAGCATTTTTTGGGAGGGGGAACATCTGAAATCTCAGTTATATACAAGTATTTAGCAAATTTTGAAATATGGTGGGATATTGTTTGCTTTTATGCAATAAATGTTGCTTTAAGATAAAGACAACACTTAATATATTTTCATTCAAGCCATAATCCAGTACTGATTGTAAGCATGTCCTTATTTCAGTTCTCTTTAATAGAAAGATGTGTGAGAAACATAACTGATATTTGTATCATACCATTTTAATAATGCTTCTGGGTTTTCTAGGAAAATAGTGTACTAGGCTCCTCCAGTTTTTTTTTAATGTGCTAGCATTAATAAGAATCTGATGAAGGCTCCAAATTCATTCCAAGATGGATGTAAGATTTATTTGTTCATTGAATAGCATAAACTGTTGCCATATGTGTATTCAGTTATCAAGCAACCACTGTAGCAGTTGGATTTTTAACTGATGTTTGTTTACCTTATCATCTGGGCTCTTATGTAACACTTCTTGGATGTCTAGTGAACAGATATCCTAGACAATTTAAAATTTTGTTTTCAGATTTTTCTAAAAAAGGTTTTGTGCTATTTCAGCAAACATTTGTAAGATTACCTACTATGGAATAAATTTAAAGTTTCCTTTAATTATGCTATTTATAGGGGGGGGGGAAGCACTCCTACCCATACATATAACTTCCTGAAAGACCTAACAGGCCTTTGTTACCTTTTCTGTAAAGAATGTTCTTCTCAATTAGTTATGCCATTTAATAAAAACCTGACATGTAAATATGTTTTTAATTTTAAATCAAAGGTGCTATTAAAATTAGGATTTTTATTGAACAGATTTTCAGCTATGAAGAGACAACTCTGAATTCATTTTGAAAAAATTCTCATATTCTAGCTGTTGGCATTAGCTATCACAATGTGAAATATTAGGAAAACAGAATGTGTATAAATATGAAAAATATTCATGTAGAATTAGATTGACAAACTTATTTGTTGAAGTTTGTCTTCATACTCAGTTTTATTCCATGTTGAGTTCCTGACTCATGACTTGCAAATCTCTTGCCTACAGTATTACTTTCTGCTGCTGATAATGACTTTGTTGTGGGATTTTTCCATTTGCTAGCTCTGAAATAAGACTAAAATCTAACTATTGAAATTCTAATTTATTGTGTTGAAATATACCTTTTCATTTCCTCCATTGTTAGATTCTAAATAAAAATGTGGAAACAGTAATTTGACTATTCAATATTTTATTTAAGTAAGTTAAAACAGATTGTGAGATGTATGCTTACATTCACGTTTTTTATTATACTCAAAAACAACTATAAAATACAACCTACTTCCATCTTGATACCTTAATTATCCTATAAACTAAGCCACAAGATAATTTTCACAATAATATATTTTTGCATGGCTATTACGTGGCGCTTCAGAATATTAGTCACTACTTCTGTAACTAAACAAAAAAACAAACAAAACCCAACTAGGAAGGCATACTATAGAGTTAGCATGCGAATAAAAACATTTTTTAAAAAGCAACTGGTATTGCCATGACTTTCGGAAAAAGCTGTTTTCAACTGGTTTTCTTTGCTGGTTTGGCATTTTTATTTGGATAGCATCTGACAGAGAATACTATATAAAAATGAAAGTAAACTTTCCTGCTTTTAAGAACTAGGAAAACCAGGTATTAAATATGCTTGGAAATAAGTCTTAGTGAAGGACAGATTGGCATCATGCACAAACAGTATTCTCAGTTTATACAAAACAAAAATGAAATGGTACGCTTTAAAATGTGTCTTGCATACTTTTCAAAGGCTTGCAAAATAGAGGTGTTTTCATGCAAAGGGTTCCTAGCACCACTAATCAGAAGTCATTTAAGTCTACATTTTATTAACCTGATGCACAATCTCGCATCATATTGAATAATAGGGTTGGAAGGGACCTTGGAAATCTAGGCTAATCGCCTACCCAAGTCTTTATACCTTACCAGACAGATGGTTGTCCAGTGTTTTCTTGAAAAACTCCAGGAGGCAAGCTGTTCCATTCATCAATCGTTCTGTCAGGAAATTCCTTATTTCCAGATTGTATGCTTAATGTTGTTCCAGCATGTTGGATTAAGATGCGGTCAGCTGGTTTGTGACTTGGACACAAAACGGTCATTTTCACCTAATGCGTTATGACTGCAGCTCCTTAAAAGGTGCGAGCCAGATCTGTGACAGACTGCACCCTGTATTTAATGGGAAGAAGAGTCGATTCTTCCATTGGTGTCCCCTAATTACGCTGAACTACAGTTCCTTAGAATTCCCAGGGATCTGACTGGAAATTATAAGACTGAAGTCCAACACATATGGAGCGGGCTGGGTTAATAATAATACTAATAAATAAATAAATAAATAAAATAATAATAATTAATAATAATAATAGTAAAGTTGGAAGGGACCTTGGAGGTCATCAAGTCCAGCCCCCTGCTCAGGCAGGAAACCCTATACCATTTCGGACAAATGGCTGTCCAGTCTCTTCTCAAAAACTTCCAGTGCTGGAGCATTCACCGCTTCTGGAGGCAGGTGGTTCCACTGGTTAATTGTTCTAACTGTCAGGAAGTTTCTCCTTAGTTCTAGGTTGTGCTGAGGAATTCTGAAGAGTACTGAATCAGGGGCGGGGAACTATGGCCCTTTTATGACTTGTAGACTTCAATTCCCAGAGGGCTGGCTCAGGAATTCTGGGAATAGAAGTCCACAAGTCATTAAAGGGGCCATAGTTCCCCACCTCCGATTTAGATGCCAACTGTGCCCACAGCTCTAATATTTCTACCGTTGCTACAAGGCATTCTTATCACCGTTATCGGACAGCATCCCGAAATAATGAGTTTGTCCCCATCGAGAAATGATCCAATTTAAACTTTATTGGTAGCACCGCAGTAGCGCATGCACTTTCCAAGGCAACGGAACACCGGCACACGCGAATCTCACTCTCTGCCTCGACTGGGGACGAGCGTGGAGCCGAGGGCGGAACGAGGCCGCCGCGTCACTTCCTGTTTAGTTCCGGGGTTGGCCAATTACACGTCAAGCTAATTCGACTCCTACCGTACTCCTTTCTTTGGTGACAGGAGACGCCCGCCTCTTCCGGCCCCGTTGGGAGCCGCTCGTTCCGCAACATGGTGAGTTCCCATCTTGGGGGGGCGGTTGAGGGCCTTGGACGCTGCGTGGCGAGTCGGTGTCAAACGTGGTGCAGCCGCGAGAGGGATGCTAGGGGGGGGGGGGAAGACATTGACACCGGCTTCCCAGTTCTGGAAAGGGGGCGACCTCCCTGCAGCAGGGAAGGGTGGCTGTCAAGGCTGAGACAGCTTTCCAGGGGGAAGATGCCAAGCTCTTCTGCACAGAAAGCTCCAAGTGTGCAGAAGGCAAAACTTGTTAATCTGCTGCACTGGGAGTCCCGTTTCATTTTAAAAGCGAAAATGTAGGTGGGATGCATGTAGCCCGCTGTATCCGATGTGTGGGGTTTCCCTGGGAAGAGAAGGTGTGGTGCAGTGATTGGAGGGATGGCTTGGCTCAGACTACGGTAGATAGCCCGGAAGTGTTTAATTAGGAATTTGATCAATCAGTAGTCACAAGTAGTTGTTTTTAATCACATGTCAAGAAAAAGATTTACTTGCCTCCCTTAGCATCGGTATCCTTATACCTCTACGGAAGAGCAAAAGTGTAACTTACTAGTGCAGTGTTTCTCAACCTTGACAATTTTAAGGCATGTGGACTTCAACTCCCAGAATTCCACAGCCAGCATTGCTGGCTGTGGAATTCTGGGAGTTGAAGTCCACATGCCTTAAAATTGTCAAGGTTGAGAAACACTGTGTGAATAAATAAGTACCTGAGGTCTCTGTTCAAGGGACAGGAGCAAACAATGAGCTTGCTGCGTTGTCTGGGTTCAGATCCTTTTTCAGCCATAAAAATCCTGAGGGTATCCATAAGGTGTCTGTTCTCAACCCAATAAATGTTTTGGTGATCATAAAGCCGCCTAAGACTCTTGAGGTTCCTAGGAAATAAATAGGGTAAAAATGCAACGAATGAATATTTTAAAGCTAGCTGGCAATATAGTGGATATAGAAAGTCTATCCAGCCCTGTTAAAATGGCAGGTTTTTGAGATATAAAAAACAAACCAAGATAAACCACTTCAGATTTTTTTCCACCTTTAATGTAACCTGTAAGCTTTCAATTGAAAAACAAATCTTTTTAAGGGGGAAAAATAAAAAAAAGTACAATAATGTGTTTACATAAAGATGCACACTCTTAAACTAATACTTTGTTGAAGCACCTTTTGATTTTATGACAGCATTCAGTCTTTTGGAATAGGGGCCTATCAGCATGGCACATCTTCCTTGAGAAACTTTGCCCACTCTTCCTTGCAAAAGTGCTCCAAATCTGTCAGATTGCAAGGGCATCTCCTGTGCACAGCCCTTTTCAGATCATCCCACAGATTTTAAATCGGATTTAGATCTGGGTTCTGGCTGAGCCATTCCAAACCTTTCATCATCTTTTGGTGAAGCCTTTCTTTTGGAGGTATGCTTTGGGTGTTGTGTTGAAAGTTGAAATGCCTTTTCATCTTCCGCATTTTAGCAGAAGCCTCAAGGTTTTGTGCTAACATTCTGATATTAGGAACTGTTCATAATTCCCTCCACCTTAATTAAAGGCCCAGTTCCAGCTGAAGAAAAGCAACCATAAAGTATAATGCTGCCATCACCATGCTTCAATGTGGGTATGGTGCACTTTTGGTGATGCGCAGTGTAGTTTTTCCGCCAAACATACTTTTGGAACTATGGCCAAAAAGTTCAACACTGACCTCATCAGACCATAACACATTTTTCTCTCATGCTTTTGTTAGACTTGATGTAGTTTTTTGCAAAATGTAGCCAGGCTTGGATCTTTTTCTTTGTAAGAAAAGGCTTCCATCTTGCTGTCCTATCCCACAGCCTAGACATATGTAACCACAGGAGATATTGTAACATGTAGTATACAACCAGTACTTGCCAGAAATTCCTGCAACTCCTTTAATATTGCTGTAGTCCTCTTGGCAGCCTCTCAGAAGAGTTTTCTTGTTTTTTAATCAATTTTGGAGGTTCATACAGTTCTTGGTAATGTCACTGTTGGGCCATATTTTCTCCACTTGTTAATGACTGTCTTCATTGTGTTTCATGGTATATCCAATGCTTTGGAATTTTTTTGTACCATTCTTCTGAAATGAGATCCTTTTATACTTTGTAAGTTCTTTTTACAGACCGTAGCTTTTGCTGTAAGTCAGGGGTCTTCAAAATTGGCTCTTTTATGACTTGTGGATCCTCAGCCAGCATGCCTGGCTGAGGAATTCTGGGAGTTGAAGTCCACAAGTCATAAAAGGGCCAAGTTTGAAGACCCCTGCTGTGAGAGGTAACTGAGTAAATATCAGAAAAATCTTACTAGTACAGCTGATCCTTATATGAGCTTGATCAAAGGTACCTTAATTGATGGCAGGTGTGTACTGACTACTATTTATGATTAGTTTGAATGTGATTGGTTAATTCTGAATACAGCCACATCCCTACTTATAAGAGGGTATGCACACTTATGCAGCCCCATTAATCTAGTATTTATTATTTCTTCCCCCCCCCCAAAAAAAATGTCAGTTTGTTTTTCATTTGAATTGTAGAGCTTATGTTTGCATTAAAGGTGGAAAAATTCTGAAGTGATTTATCTTGGGGGGTTTTTTACATCTCAAAACCTGGCATTTTAATAAGGGTAAGGCACACTTTTTATATAGGGTGTATATATTAGTGGATTTACCTTCAGTGAATGTTTTGTTACTTTTTAAAAGTTAGCAAGCATGTAGAAATCAAGTTCATGATTTGGAATGTTAGAAAAGAATAGAAAATTCAGTAAACAACTTTTGGTACCTTGTTTGTAGGGAACAATATATTTGTTTCGCAAATCACAGCGATCTCTTCTTGGCAAGTTAACACAGGAATTTAGAACAGTAGCTGCTGATAGAAGGGTAAGTGTTTTCATTTACTGGCAAGAAAACATTTTAATTCATAGAGACTTATTTTTTAAAGAGTCTTATATATATGTATACAGAATCAATGACTCTGATTTGTTCCTCTATCACTTTTAACCTATTTCATGTTCCAGTTACTCTCCCATACTTTCCTTATATTTGTTTCTTTGTTACTGTTAAACTTTTTAATTTATTCTTGTAAATTGCATAATAACTCTAACTTCTATGTTATGAGATGCATCTAACATACTATTATTAAGCAATATTGTAGGATAGAGAGATTGAAATATGCTTAATATCTATAAGTATGCCTTTGACATGGAAGTGGGTTTTGCTGATGGGAAGCATGTTGAGATTTTATTCTTATTTTCTGGAATTTTCTAATATGATTTAATTCTGTTTTCATTATGTTTATAATATTTTATAGTTATTCCTTTTAGCCCTGTTGAATGTTATGTGCTGATGAGAAGGTAGAATGTCAGTCTGACAAATAAACAAATGGGGAAAAAGTTCCAGTCAGTATTTTCTCTATTAGTTGTGAATATCTGAGATTTAGCTTTTTCTGTTTGTTATATCATTTAGTTTATATCTACAGTATGTGTGTGTGTTTTTGACTTTTAGACTTTTCCTTGTCAATAGTGCAGCTGTCAACCTGTATTTGTTTTATTTTTATTGAGTTTGATTAACAAATACAGTAGTATTCTGTGCCAAAGAACTCTGTGTAGTGCTGAAGAGAAAAAGCTGTTGCGCTTAATTGTACAGGTAGCCCTTGACTTGTTCATTTAGTGACTGTTTGGAGCTGTAATAGCACTAAAATAAAGTGACTTACGGCCAGTCCTCACACTTATAGCCATCTCAGCAGCCATATGGTCACAAGGTCAAAATGTGGGTGCTTGGCAACTGGCATGTATTTACAGTATCCTAAGGTCATGTGATTTCCAATTATGACCTTCCTAGTAGGCTTCCAACAGTCCAAGTCAATGGGGGAAGCTGGATTCACTAAACTGTAGTGATTCAGTTAACTGTGGCAAAAAAAGTTGTAAAATTGGGTACAACTCACTTAACAATCACCTTGCTTAGCAAGAGAAATTCTGGTTCCAATAGTAATAAATCGAGGACTACTTGTCGTTCAATAAATCACTATTTGAAAAATTATGAATACATTGATCCTACATTATGCTCTGGCATTCTTTCTTCAGCAAAGAGATTAAAGCCATGGGAAATGTGAGCTTAATGTTCAGTATTTTATCTGAGGATTATAGAGTTTTCCCCCCCCCAGTAATACCTACTTTATTAAACTTGTTTCCACTGTTGTTATTTACAGTCATGGAAGATCTTGTTGTTTGGTGCAATAAATATAATATGCACTGCGTTCCTGCTTATGTGGTGTAGTTCTACAAACAGCATAGGTATGTTATCCTTTTAATGAGATGATTGTAGATATACAAAAGTGGTTTAATATTGACACAAAAATGGTTATATCTGTGAGTGTCATTGATTCCTCTTATTTTTTTTACTGTTTTCTGTTCCTAAAGTCATTCTTGTCACTTATTTGATGATTTCTTTATTCAAACTGTAAAAAGCTATTAAGATGAAGCAAAATTAATTCTACTAAATGTAAAACTCTGTTTACATTTATTGATGTTTACAATTCTATTAAATGGATGCACATGCATTATGATGACAATATTGCAACCACAGAGAGCCCTTGCATAATGACTGAATTTGGAACTGGAACTTCCATCTCTAAATCATGTGTTTGTAAGACGCAATGTGATTTATGCCTGCATTGCTTATGATGGCAATCCTTGCAGTCCCCAGTTGCCATTGTTAATTCAGGATCATGGGTCATTAAATGAGCATCTCTTCACAAAATCCTGCTGGCTTTTAACAACCAGTGAGTGTGAAAGCTGGCAGGAAATTGCAATTCCCAAATAGCTTGCAAGCAGACTGGCAGGCAGGAAGTGGCTGCTAATGCATGGGGAAAGATGCGTGAATGGCTAGAGAAGCAATTATGCCATTCGCAATAACACCTGCAAATTCCCACACAAAATTCACAAAACAACCCCAACCCTCTGATGGATTCCACCCTACAAAAAAAGGCCTAGAGGCCTAAACAACTTCCTTGATGTGTTTTGTGATTTATTTGGTAGATGCATGTTTATTACATAGAAAATTGCATAAAGCCCAACAATTGTTTATTAAAAGCAACAGTACCTTTATTTACTTAAAGGCAGGTAAACTAAAATATTTTCATCATTTGTTCATGGGACAGTAAAATGGTCATCTTCTTTCCACAGCTTTAACTGCATATACCTATCTAACAATCTTTGATCTTTTCAGGTATGTTCCCTTTTTTAAATTCCTAAGTTAATTTTGTAACACTTGTGAAAAAATTATCATTTTATCCAAATCTATGGGTTATGGTAAAAAGCTTTTAATATTCCCTAATAAATCCTGTTTCTGTTAGTAGGCAAGATGTGGTCCCATTTATATCTACTCAGAATTAAATCCCATGGAATTAAGTGGAAAGGATTGCCAGATATGTGATATAGGATTGCAGCCTAAGTGACTTTTCATTGCATAGGAGACAAGTCCATAAAAACGGTTCCCATTGTTTTCTAATGTCACACACAGCTCAGAAATAGACATTTTTCAAATGAGATTTAAGCATGCTTAAGTCCCATTATGACAGCAGTATATATTTTCTTGCATTACGTTCTAAAAGTACCATTACTTTTTGCAACTCAGATGAGATTTATCTTAAATCTTTTCCATTTTATTCAGTCCTAAACAATAGCGGTGTCAATATTGATGGTGCCAGGAGGACAGGACAGGACAGGAGATCATTTTACTTTCAGCCAAATCTAGTCAGTATTAATAGGAACCCTGCAAGTGGGATATTAATGAATAACGTTGTTATGTCTTTAATCCCACTGTTGTTTTCTATGCAACTTGATGGTAAAACTATTTGCCTTTAAATATCTCTTATTTAACGTAGGCTAGGTCAGGAAACCACTGGATATCTACTAGTTTTAGAAACCACTGGAACTCTACTATATTACTGCAAGGTATAATAACAGAAACAAAGATTCAGTTTTCATATAATGCCCTCCCTTTCAGTAGGCTGTTAAACTAAGGACTTATTTTGTTATTGGCTATTCCTCAATATGTTAAATGACAATTGAATTTTGAAATGCTGAATTTATTTTATATAATTTTTCATAGCTAGATTTCTCTTAATTTTCATTCCCTTTTTTATTTAGCTTAATAACATGCTTCATAAGTTATTGGGTAATGATGAAGAAACCAAGTTCCTCTTATTCATTTGGGTAAGTTGGATAATTAGTATTTGTTGGTTTTTTGAAAATATTATTTTACTATGAAATAAACATGTTATTAATTTATTAAATCAATGTTTGTTTATAAAGAGATTTTATAAGTTGAAGAAAATTGTAATGTGCACATTAAAAGTGCACATATGTAATGTTTAATTCTATGCTGAATTATGTCCAAGAAATTAGAGGATGCTAATTTGAAATATGCATACTACATTCATTTGATCGAATATGAAACTACTACCCAGAAATCACCAGTCTCTGGTTGATAGAACAGATCAGACTTTGTGGAGTTTTATGGTAGTCTCTGGGCCCTTACATAGTTTTACTCTCTTTATGGAAGTAACTCATTCTTGTCACATAAGGGGAAAAGTGCATTTTTCAATTTTCGAGAATTTTACCTCTTTCACTGGAAGTGTTTAATGTAATCTGTATTTTTGAAATCTCTGATGTCTTGGGGTTCAAACTCTGTAGCTAAATTATCTGGAAAAGATAATCAGCGAACGAATCAGCGTACACCTAGAGGCAAATAAAGTCATTACCAAAAGCCAACATGGCTTTGTCAAAAACAGACCATGCCAGACAAATCTTACTGCATGCTTTGACCAGGTGACAAAATTAGTGGACCAGAGGAATGCTGTGGATATAATTTTGTGGTGGCCATCTATGCTGAAATGCATTCAGTCTTAGTTCTATAAGCCCCCCCCCCGCATGGCCTGAGAGGAACAGTGAGGCTCCTCCAGTGGACCATGCCTTGGCACTTGCCCTGGCCCCACCCCCTTCTGCCAGAGACCCTCAGATCTATCCCACTCCTTATTGCATTCTTTGACCAAGTGACAAAATTAGTGGATCAGAGGAATGCTGTGGATATAATTTACTTGGACTTCAGTAAGGCATTTATTTGATAAAGTAGATCACAACCTACTACTCGATAAGATAGAAAAATGTGGGTTAGACAGCATCACAACCAGATGGATTCGTAGCTGGCTGACCGGTCGTACTCAGCATGTGGTCCTCAATGGAACTGCATCTACATGGAGGAAAGTGTGTAGTGGGGTGCCCCAGGGCTCTGTTCTAGGCCCATGCTCTTCAACATCTTCATCAATGATTTGGACGAGGGGATAGATGGGGAACTCATCAAATTTGCGGATGACACCAAGCTGGCAGGAATAGCCAACACTCCAAAAGACAGGCTTAAGATACAGGAGGACCTGGACAGACTTGAACACTGGGCGCTATCTAACAAAATGAAATTCAATGGTGAAAAAAGTAAGGTTCTACATTTAGGCAAGAAAAACCAAATGTACAGGTATAGTATAGGGGGTACCTTGCTCAATAATAGTAACTGTGAGAGGGATCTCGGAGTCCTAGTGGAAAATCACTTAAATATGAGCCAGCAGTGTGCTGCAGCTGCCAAAAAAGCCAACACAGTGCTGGGCTGCATTAACAGAGGGATAGAATCAAGATCACGTGAAGTATTAATACCACTTTACAATGCCTTGGTAAGGCCACACTTGGAATACTGCATCCAGTTTTGGTCACAGCGATGTAAAAAAGATGTTGAGACTTTAGAAAGAGTACAGAGAAGAGCAACAAAGATGATTAGGGGCCTGGAGGCTAAAACGTATAAGGAACGGTTGCTGGAATTGGGTATGTCTAGTTTAACAAAGAGAAGGACGAGAGGGGACATGATAGCAGTGTTCCAATATCTCAGGGGCTGCCACAAAGAAGAGGGAATCAAGCTATTCTCCAAAGCGCCTGAAGGCAGGACAAGAAGCAACCAATGGAAACTAATCAAGGAGAGAAGCAACTTAGAACTAAGGAAAAATTTCCTGACAGAACAATTAATTAAAGCTCTAATATGCACATTTCTGTTTCAATTAGGAATAGTAAAACTGGTGTCTGTAGACCATCTCCTTTTAGAGCCATTTTATTTTATCTGTCATAACAAGATTTTATAACCTTCTCTTGTCATACAAATGTATTATGCAAGCTACTTATATGAATTAAATTTACATTATAAAATATAACAAGAATAACAACAATATAAGTACCAAATTGCAACAAACAAAGAAGTACGTCCATACTGTTGCTGAGATAACTGTATGGGCATCTTTGTGAAGTTCGCAACAGTTGAGCTAAACCTAAGTTAACACTTTTTCTCTTATTCAGCCTTTGCAAATTCATTATGAACAGACAGCAGAGAATACATAGTTTTTCATCAACAGGAGTAGCATAAAATAGTCCTATCTGCCACAAAGCTAAAATTAAGCTAATCCAAACTTTAGGGTGCTCAACATGTGTTTTTTTTTGGAATTTACATGTAAAATCAGAACTGTTCATCGTTGGTTCTCCCTAACAAAGACACCCTGATTGCTAGATGGCATGAATTAAAACATGGAACTTAATAGAACGGAATAATTCCAAAATACATGGAAATTATCCAGCTCCCAAATTATCTGGCCTTCCATTAACATACTGCTAACATTAAAAATGTTTTTAATAAAAAAATAACAGCAAAAATAAATAACACATGTTAATTTTCTAAGCATACTTTCTTGTACCCATCCCAATTAATGCATTTTAGTTTCTGATTAATATTCTTTTTATTTGTAGTGATTTTTAAATGCTTAATTTTCCAAACTGCAGATTTGAGAGATTTGAAGTCCTAGCAGTATTTGCTTCTACGGTTCTTGCACAACTTGGAGCACTCTTTATACTTAAAGAAAGGTAGGAATGCCCCTTCCTTGTGCTTATATGTACCTGTTTAATCATTGTCAACGATAACAATATTTCCAGTGCTAGAACACTTATTTTAAAAACCAGCAGTTCCAAAGGATAGTGTGATGTTTTATCTGCAGTGAATCTTATAGACTTGCTGGTGCATGCAGGGTTATATATGTGACTAACAGATTTCTAAATAGAAATAAGTGTTGACTGTAAAGATAACATTCTTGTGTCTTTCAGTGCTCAACGATTTCTTGAACAACCAGAGATTCATACGTAAGCATTTATAATTAAATAACAGTAAATATTACAAGTATATAAAGTTTGCATAATTAATAAGGCCATTAGTACATTACCTTATTTAAAGCAGAAAACTGAAAATGATATTACGCTGTCAAGACTTTCAGGTCATTGGCAAAAATCCACTTGAATTTGCTGATCTTGAATACTTATTTAATACAAATGGATTTTATAGAGAGATAACTTTAAATCATACACACAATGAATTGGGCAGAAGTCTTTTAAAAAGGTTGTGTCTGATGTATATTAAATAGTAAAAGCTTAAATTTAATGTACACGTAGCCCTCGTTATCTGTAATTTCACCTATAGTTTTGGGTTCCATGGCTACTACAAGAAATGTAAAATTTTTCTTTTATTTGTCTGAAAGCTGTGAGGGTTTGGATGGGAGACAACTCGTTAAATTTGAATCCTAGTAAGACAGAGTTACTGTTTGTCCATCAAAGTGCTCTGGAAGCTCCAGTATATCTCTTGAGGAGCCCACAAATTGAGCTCCTACTTAATCAGCAAGTAGAAACCACAGACAGTGGAACCCTTGGCCAACTTTGGCTAGTGTGCCAGTTGGAGCTCTACCTGTTTACTTAAATACTGCAACACACTCTATGTGGGGTTGCCTTTAAAGACCATTTGGAAGCTTCAGTTGGCCAAAAATGCAGTGGGCCTGTGTACTATTTTACACTTGCCAGTGGGACTATATTACACCTCTGCTACAGACCCTGCATTGCCTTCCTCTCGGGCTGTTGTTGCAATTTAAAGTATTGATGTTAACATAGAAAGGGCCTCTATGACTTGGCCCTAAGTTACATTCTTGTTCACCCACTAGAATGGGGGTTTGCTTATTTAGTCTCAAGAATCCCATCAGTAAGTGCTTCCCCATTTTCAACAGGGACAGAAGGCTAAGATGCTGCTTTTCCACGAAAAGTGTCATCCTCTCTAGAATGGCCTCCCACCGCCATGTAGGCTGACTCCAACTCTGGCTGCCATCCAGAAGCAGTTGAAAAATGATCTCTTCTGAAGGGCTATTGAAATTTGAGGTCTAGTTTTTGAGTTTTGTAGTTTTTGTAAGTTGCAGGGTTTTTATGATTGTAGCTGGACCCATGGATGTTTTTTATTTATTTATTTATTTATTAAATTTGTATACCGCCCATCACATCTCAGTGACTCTAGCGGGCTTACAGCAGGGGTCCCCCCCAATCCTTGGGCTGCGGCCCATTTGAAACTGGCCCGTGCAAGTGGCAGGTGAACGTGCGTACGAAGCTCCATTTGTGTGAGTGGCAAGTGCTCAAGCTTGCGTAAATGGAATTGCGCACACTCACACATGTGCCTGCCATTCACACAGAACCATTCCCTCTCCCCACCCCACCCCCGCCGGTCCGCCAAGCTGGAAAGGTTGGGGACCGCTGGTTTACAGCAAAATAAAAAGATAATACAAGACAAGTAAAGATTAAGATAGATTAAAGACTAAAAACCAACAGAACAGGTGACATGAGGGTGGGCATCTCTCTATTAAAGGCTCATGCATTCCCATAAAACCTCTGAAAGTCCTGTACAGCAGCACAGAAATGTAATAAATAAATATGTAGTTTATTTCTCTCTCAGCTAATAAGTTTCTCTTATTTACATAAGAGTTGTATATAACAGCAAATCAAGTTAACTTTTTTTTTTTTTAAAAAAATACTGTAGTTAAATGGAGCCTAATGGTAATGAAGAATAATTAGCCTAACTATTCTTTGTACCTGATGATATGCTATATTGACAAAGATATTTTTTTTTAGGGGTCGATTGCTGGTTGGTACCTTTGCAGCACTCACTTTCAACTTGTTTACAATGCTTTCGATTAAGAATAAACCATTTGCTTATGTGTCTGAAGGTACATAATGAAAATTTTGAAAAGAATATATATATATATATATTTAATTTAATAAAAGCTAAAAAAGTGATATATTAATTAGTAGCCAAACGATATTTGTTGTCGCTAATCCCACAACTTCCATCCCTTAAATCAGTGTTTCTCAACCTTGACAATTTTAAGGCATGTGGACTTCAACTCCCAGAATTCCACAGCCAGCAATGCTGGCTGTGGAATTCTGGGAGTTGAAGTCCACATGCCTTAAAATTGTCAAGGTTGAGAAACACTGCCTTAAATCTTTGATAACACATAGAAGGACTAAGAAGAAACTAGAGGTGTAGCAGAGGCTTCCTCATTTTCAATGCTTTAGAAAATGTGAAAAAGGGTGGCAGTATTTCCTCTATGGAAGAGTTTTCTGTTTTTATGTTCCCCAACTGCACTGCAGATGATAACTCCTTGCCTGGGGATCTCTGCGCTGCTGGTCTTTCTCTTTTGATGGACTTGATTTTGGAAACTGTCTTATCTAGATGATCTGGCTTCATGTAAAAAACATGGTTATGTTTATACTGAGCTGTGCAACTGACTTTGGATTTCTACATCTGCGTATCTGAAATGTTAAGAGTTGCAAGATCTGGACGGGCCCGCAAGCCCTCCACCCCAAAGCGTGGCTGATTCTAAGAGAGAGAAAAGGCAACAAGAGGAAGTACAGGTACTCCTTGACTTATGATCACAATTTCAGTTGTTAGGCATCGAGGTTGTTAAATGAGCCACAGCTCATTTTATGACCTTTTCTGCCATGGTTTTTAAGAGAATCACTGCAGCTGTTAAGTGAATCACACAGCTATTAAGTGAACCCAGCTTCCCCCATTGATTTGCTTCTCAGAGGCCAGCTGGGAAGGTGACATATAGGGATCACATGACCCTGGGATGCTGCAACCATCGTAACTATATGCTGGTTGCCTAAGTGCCTGAATGTTGATCATGTGACCGTGGGGATGCTGCAACGATCATAAGCGCAAGGATTGGTCATAAGTCAGTTTTCAGTGCTGCTGTAACTTCAGACAGTTGCTAAATGGATGATTGTAGGTTGAGGACTACCTGTAATTTTGGCTTGTTGCCCTAATCAGTGTAATCTTCTTTCAGTCCTTAATAATGCAATTTGTGCAAATTCTTTAAAAGAAAAAAAAATATATGAAGAACTTTTAGGAGCCTCGTATGCCCTTTCATGTCCCATCCCAAATTCTTTCTGACCTAATGGTGCACTATTCAAATTCTTCAGGATCTTGTGTTTAATCGTAATGTAACTCAAATGTGTGATTTGGATGGCAGCTTAGTCTTGGAATAGTATCTACAAATAATCCTTGACTTTCAAGCTCTAATAATCTTACTCAATTGTACTTGTGATTTTGGTTAACAGTATTTTGAAAATATAATAACCATGCTGGCATTATAATTGAATAAAGTCATTTATGTCTTTATTTTTAGTGCAGTTTGACCATAATATAAAATTGTGCTTTCAATTAGCAGAATAATATGTTGTTTATTTAATTTAAATTTACCTTTAGGCTGATTTTAAAGGTAGAACTTCCTTTAAATATACACTGTAGTAAAACAATAATCAGAAAGGGAATTCCATTTACCCAGTGCTCCAGAAATACATTTTTTTTAAAAAAAGTCAATGAATTCTTAGAGGGTTGTTGGCTTTTTTTGATGGTGGGGAGGTAATTTGCACAGATTTGAGCAGGATTATATTAGACTTATGATATTTTGAATGTTATGTCAATAATGAACAATCACACTTCTCTCTGCAGCTGCAAGTACAAGTTGGCTTCAGGAACATGTTGCAGATCTCACTAGGAGGTAAATAAAAAGAAAGACATTCTAAATCAGAGTGTGCAATCTTCTTTGGCATGATGGGTATATTTCAGATTTTGAGATTGGGCTGCGGTGCTCTCCATAGACAGGAGAGACGTTTTTATTAACAAAATGAGTCCATTGTTAAAACACCCATCAGATAGATGAATGATGAGGTAGTTCCTTGTCATAGTTTAAAAGTGATCATTCTGAAACTTTAGGACACTTGTTTTCAATCTTGGCAACTTTAAGATGTGTGGACATCAACTTCCAGAATTCCACCCTGAGCATTCTTGCCAAGTTTGAAAAACATTGCTGTAGGACTTTATGTAGCCTCAAACTTCTTTTTTTCTGCCTCTTATGGTGTAAAGCACAGGTAAAATAACAACTGCTTTTCCACAGGCCAAGGGGAAAAAATCAAAAACCTCGTTCAGTCCATGAATACAACATAGCTCATTCCAGGTTGTCCCAGTATTGAAGTGTTGGCTCCCCATGCCTCCAAATTCAAGGTGTGGTACTTAGGTTATCCATACCTCTTTTATCTGCTAGATACTTTATCCCACTGCCAGTTTATCTTACCATAGTGTTTATTTTTGCAGATGAGTTTGGTTTTAAAGAAAATCTGGGTTTTAGCTACTCACTATTTTTATTTTCTCAGAATGCTTATAGGTGCTCTAAAGCCATTGTGATGTGAATGTGATGCTAGAGGGTGGTGCTTACTTTAAAGCATGTCAGCTGCTCCCCAAAAAATTGAACATATTTCTAAAAATGAGTTGTTAAGCAGAGATGGTGTTTAGAAGGTGACTCTTCATTTACATGTGCATTGGCAATATTAGTTTAGAAACCTAATGTGTTTGCATAGCCAATTGTTCTAGATATTAGCTTGATCTTTGAAAGAGAGATTCCTGGTATGTGTTTTAAGCAATAATAAATTTAAAACACTCAGAAAAAAGCAAACACAATTTTTTAAAAAATGGTTCTTTCTTATGCTCAATTCCTGTAGTTCCCTGAAAGGTTTCTGTTTCTCAGCAACTTGGTGCTGTGACATAGACATAGACAATGAGACAAGCAGCCCAAGTCTTGGCTGTGGGCCACCATGCCATTCTTTTGATTTGCTGCCATCACCAAAATAATATTGTTGGGAATTACTGTGACAATTTGATCTATTGAAATGGCATCTTCCTGTCTTTTTTGTTCATAATCACTCTCTCACAGAAGGGCGTTGATTTGTATTTTTTAAACTTTTCTTTGGAGGGACGGCTAGATAATTTCTGTTGAATATAAAGAAGGTTGATAAATTGTTGTAATCAAAGTCACAGCACAAGAATATGAAAATAATTGAGTTTGCCAAAAGAATATTAGATTAAATTTTGTTCTTTTGTTGGGAGATGGCATGTTCCTTCCCACACATTTATGAGTTAATATGAAAGTCTTAAGTTGTAAAATCAAATAGTACCGAATTTCCTTACAGTCATGTTCCTGTTATCTGATAATATAACATTGGGTACGCAGTCTTAATACATGTTTCTTGAAAAAGACTGTATCACAATCCAACATACAGGTAGTCCTCAACTTACAACCACAACTGAGCCAAAAATATATGTTAAGTGGGAAATTTGTTAAGTGAGTTTTGCCCCATTTATACGTCTTTTCTTGCCACTTAAGTTGAGTGAATCACAACTGTTGTTAAATTAGTAACATGGTTCCTATGTGAACCTGGTTTCCCCATTGATTTTGCTGGTCAGAAGGTCATAAAAGTGGGTCACATGACTCCAGGACCCTGCAACTGTCATAAATGTGAGTCGGTTGTCAAGTATCTGAATGCAAATCACGTGACATTGGAGATGCTACAATGGTCACAACTGTGAAAAATGCTCATAAGTCACTTTTTTCCGTGGCGTAACTTTGGTCACTAAATGAACTGTTGTAAGTCGAGGGCTACCTGTACTAATAAAAACTGCTAAAATACACAGACAGACATGCAGAATGCCTAAAACTGTTCTTAATGTTCAGATAGGATTATAGTGGGGGGGGGATTGTCTTTGGGCACAGATTTAACAATTAATACAAACCTTGGTTGAAGTTGGTCAGACACTAATAGCAGTAGATCAATAGATTAGATCTTTAGTATTTGAATATTATGTAGAGTACTAAAAAAAATCCTGGAATAAGACAATGGAAAAAATACTATTTTAAATATTGGCATACACTTGTAGTGATGAAGAATTGAATTTGATTATATGGTTTCAAACTGTTTTTTTAACTTAGCTCTAGATTGTCTTCTCTTCCAACAGCATTCTAAAATTTCAGATGAAGATTTCTATTACTTGTTTTTTGCATCATAGTTATCCCATTGATAGATTTCAGAGAGCAACTGTAAGAGCTTCTGCCATATGGATAATAAGAGCGTGCTACCTCTCAGCTTTCTCTTTATTCACTAACTGATCTTTATTGTTATTTTTAGCTTGTGCGGTATCATTCCTGGACTGAGTAGCATCTTTCTTCCACGTATGAATCCGTTCATCTTGATTGATCTTGCTGGGGCTTTAGCTCTTTGTATTACATACATGCTAATCGAGATTAAGTAAGTACTCTTGGATGGAATGATAATATTTAATAGGCATTTGGTACTGAAAACAGGAATGCCTATAATGTTATATTTTTCTCTTTCAGTAATTATTTTGCAGTTGATACAGCTTCTGCAGTGGCTATTGCTTTGATGACATTTGGTACTATGTATCCCATGAGTGTCTACAGTGGAAAGGTATTGCTTCAGGTGAGACAAGGAGTTAAAACCTTTGTACTAACAGAGAGTACTGAGTTACTGAGGTCAGCAAAACAGCCACAATAATTTATTCTGCAAAAATTTAAGTATTATTTTTTTAATGACAGAACTTGCTTTATGAACCCTTTCTTGACAATTTGTTATTTAAAAATAAGAGGCTAAGAGCAACTTTACCCTTTATTCCAGCTACCACTAAATAGCTTTCTTTCTACAATGTAACTTCTAACTTTACATGTAGTGCTAATTATCCATTTATTATCTTATTTTCAGGGCTTGGTAATATGGATAACGTTTTGTGGCTTTCAGTTAGCTGTCAGTGTAGAATTGGTTAACTGGAAAGCTAACTTGTATATCCTTTGCAAGAAGGGGATGGAAGGTTTTCCTAGTAAGAAGAGCTGGGGTTAGAAGTTGATAGGAGAAAAAGAAAGATAGCAGACAGGGATGGCTCTCTTTGAAGAGAGATTGATTCTTCTGCTTTCTGAGGGAACAGACAGTAACATTAGCTAATTTAGAATGGACTCTCTGAATACCTAGAGTCCAGACCACTGTGCTTATTTGTACTATAGGTTGCATGTGTACAGTTTATTCTCTCAGTTTATTCTCAATAGACAGCTTGGATTAATATCAACATCTTATATGCAATTAGAATGATAGGTCTGTGCCCAGACGGATCTCCTTCTTGAGGGCTGATTCTTTAATTACATCACCTCCTTTGTCTTGTTATCAGGTTGTTCTGCAGTAATGGTATTCTTGAACATTAGAAAAGTATTGTCCAGACTCAAAGATTGGGGGAAGGCTATCACAAATGATGGCAACTGATCCTGGAGCAGGAAACTGGGTACTCTATCAGGGCACTCTTTAGAGAAGTTGGATGGCAGCTGGCATCAGAAAGGGCCTAGATTTGTCAGGAAGCTAAAAGAATAGGTGGACTATGAGATGGAATGGGTAGGGTTTACTCTACTATAGATGCCAATAACAAAAATGGCTAAATCTCTAGATAAATTCACAGTTAAATAGGTAGATGGCTCATAGTGTTGTTAGATTTTTTTTAAAAAAAATAATAATACCAGGACTTTGCTACAAAAGAACAAATTGTCAAGCACTAACATTGTGATTTAGTATGTCTATATTCAAACGCCGAAAGGATGCTGTTTATGTGAACTCACCCATTCAGCAAAACTTTTTAGAAAATCATATTTGAATAATGTGGCTTTCTTTTAAAAAACACTCACAGAGTGTAGTCAGATGTATTCCTTGTTAATTGCTCACACTTTAACAGGATCCTAATTTCTAATTATGCGATGGCTGAATAAATTACATTATGAAAATGTAAACTTTTTTTTAGACGACACCACCTCATGTGATTGGACAGCTAGATAAACTTATACGAGAGGTAAGTTAATATAAAATGTTTCATATCTATGTAACGATCAGAACTATTCTTTCAATTGTCTACACTCAGAATGAGGTTTCTCTGTGCTCCCAGAGATAGAATCTGAGAGTGCCTTTAGGCAGAATCCCTTTTACTTTAATTGTTGTTGTGACATGTTGAAAAGTTTCTCTTATTCGGTTGAAAAATTTTATGGGATTGCTGGAAAGGACCTGTAAATCACCTTTAAAGCCCTTCATAGCTTGGGGCCAGGTTACCTAAGTCTTCTCCTAGTTGTTTGTATCTGCCCAGTTTCATCAGGCAAGTTGGACATGCTTCAGGTTCTATCAGCCAAGGAATGTCAGCTGTGGGAACCAGGAGACACGCCTTCTCTGCCATAGCCCCTGCCCTCTGGAATATTCTCCCGCATAGTTCATGATAACCACAACTCTGTTGGCCTTTTGCAAGGCCGTGAAGACTTAGTTGTGTGAGTGTGTTAAGGGCCCCAGTTGCTGGCTTTATTAACATCGATAGCAACATTTTTACTTGGTGCCGTATATATTTATTTGGTACTGTTTACATGGTTTTAGTTGTTTTTTATGTTTTGTAAAACATAATGCAATGTTTTATTGCCAAGAGTCACTTGCTGGGATGGATGACTATAGAAATCAAATAAATAAATTGTGGAACACCTCTAATGGTAATCTAAACATGCCTTCTTGTTTATAAAATATGCTAGATCTGTTTGATTAAACTATTACAGTCATATTATTACGATATACAGTATCTTTCTATGTCTTGAACCAGGTTTCTACTTTGGATGGAGTTCTAGAAGTTCGGAATGAACACTTCTGGACATTGGGGTTTGGTTCATTGGTATGTATTTATCCAGTCTAATTGACTTTTTTCTTTAAAAAGCAAGTATGGATAACATAATGAAGAAATACATTCTAATACTTTCTCATCTAGGGACTGCACGATGTTCTAAGTTATTTCAGAAGTATGTTTCTTATTGTGCATTTGTCCCAGCCTATCAGTTTTATATGTCACAGACTGATGAGCTTTTCTTAATTTGTCTTCTAGGCTGGATCAGTTCATGTGAGAATTCGAAGAGATGCCAATGAACAGATGGTGCTTGCACATGTGACAAATCGGCTAAATGCATTAGTATCTATTTTGACTGTTCAAATTTTCAAAGATGACTGGATTAGGCCTACTTTGGCCACCGGACCTATTGGGAACAATATGCTGAATGTTTCAGATCATTACATTATTCCAATGCCACCTCTAAAATCAGCAGAAAATTCTGACCTTGCTACATCCACTCCAACTAAACCAAACAGTCCACCTCCAGAATTTGCTTTTAACACGCCAGGTAAAAATATGAACCCTATCATTCTCATGAACACTCAGGCAAGGCCCTATGGATTGAACTTCAATCATGGAACTGTACCTTACAGCAGTGTCTTCACTCAAGGTTTTGGATTGCCAGGAACGGGAGTAACCCAGGGATTCAGGACTGGCTTCATCAATGTTCCCCAGAGATATGGAACTGGCACTCAAGGTCAATTAAGACCCTAATAAACTGTTTCTATATTTATTGTTCTTAATTACTTCAATTATTTTATTGCTCATTTTTCTACAAGACTGTTTGATTTCCTGGAAACTAATATCAGAAGTTTTCAAAATCATGAAAACGTGCATTCATGGATTGACTTAATTTTTGATGGTTATCCATTTCTGACTGTAAAGCATAGCTTTATAAAAAGTTATTGCAACTGCCTATATTGCTGGTCTTGTAAATAATTTCAGTATAGTATGTGAAAGGAACTCCAGAAAATAACAGTTTTGCAAAGTGTCTATTAACAAAATTATTTTCTTCAAAGTTTGTCTTTGATGTAATCATACAATCATTTTTAAAAGTTATACTTTCTGAACAATGGAAAAATGATTATTTGGCAAGTTCAGCAAGCGCTCCTGAAATTCAGTTTGATATTAAAGTGCTTATGGGTAATCTTGTTTGAGGAGTGCAGAGGAGAACTCAATGAAATATGACAGTGTGGGGAAGACAAGGTGATCCAGCTACCCGTAACTGATTATTAAGAATATTATGCCCAATACATGTCTCACATGCAGAGTTAGTTTTCTGAAAGAAAGATGGCATCAGAGATTTTAAACAGGAACATGTGGACAGTTAGACTTTAGGGACAGGTTTCTCCCCTCCTCCAAGTGCATAGGCCTGAGGGAAAGAGCTATCTTGGGCACCTGATGAGCTGAAAATTCCAGAGAAAGACCTATATCTGTGGTAGAGATCCAAAGAGAGGTTAATTACAGAGGAGAGAAATGGAATTAAGAGCAGAAATGGCGATTAGGAAACAGGGTGAAGCAAGGAAGGTTCTGCCTTTATCTCCATCATCTCCATACCAACATAAATTTCAGGCTGAGGAGAACTGCTGCAGGTGGACCAAATGAAAACAGCATTTGGATTTTCGGAAAGCTGACAAGAAAAGAAATGCTGAAAAATACAGCCCAGAACTGTTGAGCAGTAAAAGCAGCCTGATTTTGTTACCATCCTGAAATAATCTACAATAGGATGGGTTTGTTGATCTAGCAGACTGTTGTAGTTATTTCAGCATTTATTCTTTACAGCCTGATTGAAAGATTGCTTCATTTTAAGCCCTCTTCCTCCTTGATTTTGTGACCCAGAGCTTCTATAGCCTGTGCTATTATTCTTGGTGCATACATATGACCTAGAACAAAAACACTTCACTTGGTTACACAAAATATAATACAGGGGCTTTTCAGGCCTACTGCTAGGGAAGGGATTGAAAAGAATTTGAAAATCCATGCTCTGTAAGTTTTCCCCACCTTGTTAAAACTCATTCTAGGTGAATGGCAGCAAAAGGTTTCACACAGGAGACCTAGTTCATATTTAATGAGCCCATCTGCTTTCCACCAAGAGTGTCAGGTTGAATATGTTTTGTTCTGGTAATAAGCATTTGTGAGTGATGGAGTTGTATACCTACTACTTGCATTGTGTGTTGTAATTGGTTTTCCCTCGGTGACATCTTCCATTTTAATAAAATAAAGGATAGAATGGCCAGTTTGGAACTAATAAAGGTTTCCACTGTGGGAAATCAGAAGCGACTAACTTTTTAAACAGCTTTGGGGAACCCCATTTCTTCAGTAGTAGTGTGGAATTGCTGCCCTTCATCTCTTTTTTTCCAATAAAAAAGGTATCAGTTTACCCTGAGGTTTTCAGTGTAGGCGTGATTACCTTCCCTAGATAGGTTTGTTATTCCTTTATGAACAAAAAGTCCTTTGAAAACTCTTTGATCCATTTCCATTATGAAGTTATAAGAGATTATAGGCAATTTACCTATAGCAAATATAAAGGTATGGATAAATATACAGTGGTGCTTAAAAGTTTCTGTACCCTTCTGAATTATTAATATTGCTGCATAAATATGACCTAAAACAGTGATGGTGAACCTTTTAGAGACCGAGTGCCCAAAAACTGGCCCCACCCACGCTCCACCCCCTGCCCCGCCCCACCTGCCCACAGAACCACTCACCGCCTCCAGGGCCTGCCGCAGTTCGCCCAGGCAGCCCAGCAGCGCTATGGTGGCCACACCCTCTGCCCGTGCCCTGCAGCATCAACTGTATGATGGGGTGTGAGGGCAGAGTCTTGTCTACGCTGCCTGGCTGCCATGTCCTTGACTGTGCTGCTCCATGTGGGCCACGCTCGGGGGCGATTCTCCTTCAGGGGGGCTGCTGGAGAGGAGGGGGTCGCAGGGGGAGGCAAGGCTGGGGCAACGGCACGTGTGCCCACAGAAAGGGCTCCGAGTGCCGCCTCTGGCACGCGTGCCATAGGTTCGCCACCACTGACCTAAAACATGATCTCTCTGCACAAATCCTAAAACTGGATAAAGAACCAATTAAGTAAATAAGTTAAAATAGTGTACTTGTTCATTTATTTATGAAAAGAATGTAAAACTATGGGTTTGTGTGTGACAAAAGCTTGTAAACCTCTAGATTTATCAATTCATTTGAAGGAGAAATTAGAATCCAGTGTTTCAATCAATTAGTTGAAATCAGGGTCTAGTGTGGAAGGTCCTGCCTTATGTAAAGAACAGAAGTCTGGGTAGTCCTATCAAAGTGACCTTCACAACACTGATATGTGGAAGTGTGTCATAGCTCAAACGAGAGTTTTGAGGACCTCCAAAAACAATTGTTGATGCTCAGAATAACATTTAAAGAACTAAACATCTCTCTTTCATTGGTGAATATCAATTTTCACAAGACCAACATCAGGACAACTCTGAAAAAACGAGCATGGCAGGGTTGAAAGGAGAAAGCGACTCATCTTCAAAAAAAAAAAAGATGGAAAATTATTACCAATTACAAGGATGTATTTTAAGGAGCAATGTTACATGCCTACTTATAATGGTACTTTCTTTTGGAGCTACTAATTAAATCAGATTTTAAAAAAATAAAATGATAGCCACTGTTACCAAATACTGTAAGAAGCTGATCAGTTTATTTTCAGTCAGCATACTTTAGGTTGTATGCACTATAATCAATATTTTTTTAAAAAAACTCTGTTTTTTATCTTGTCTGTAACAGTTTAACCATTCTCATATTGTATAGTCTAGCAGCATTTAAATCTACTTATGATGCGCAGGAATTCCTTCTGTCCAAAATGTATATTTAAATATTGCTCCAATATGAATAGTTTCTCTTTCCCTAATATAAAATTTTATACAGCTCATAAAATTTATAGAATTTCTTCTTTTCTATGCACTGGCCTCATTTTGTATATTAGATTTCCAATGTTCCCTGCCAGCTTTCAACAAGGAAACTCAATGGAGAAGCAGAGAGGGAGTCGTTCTCACTCCCACTGCTTCCTCCCCCCATTTTGTTTTTCTGTTTCGGTAAGGAAATCTCTCCATGTTTAGTTTCAACCAACAACTCTCCCCCACCCTTTATAATGACTACTATAGGAACAGAAAGAACAGAATGTGATTGTAAAGGCATTGTTTTATGGATACTGTAGTTGCTTTTTGTTCAACCATATATGTGCAGAATCTACCCCATTAACTATAGTGTTTACACTACCTTATATAACCACCTATCTTTATTGAATTCCTATTGTTCTGGGAACGATAATGTTAAGCTGCTCTATCCTTATTAAAAAAAAAAAGTAGTTAGATGAACAATGCTTGTAGAATGACAGCCTTGGAACGCAAATGTATTAACTGTCCACATAGCATTATAGTTTATATAAAATTGGCTGTTGTCATATTAATGCCGGTGCATGATGCTGATATGATGTAATCGATGAAAAGGATTTTTTCCCCTGAGTTTAATAATGTTGATTAGTATATTAAGATCAACACACCTTTTTTATATAATTAGGAAGGCCAGTTTGGTATAGTGGTTAAGACACAGGTTAGAAACTTGGGGACTGAATTCTAGTCCTACTATAGACACAAAACAAGCCAGGTCACTTTCTATCAGTCCTAGGAAGGAGGTAGTGGCAAACCACTTCTGAAAAACCTTGCCAAGAAAAATGCAGAACTTGTCTAGGTAGTTGCCAGAGCCAAGACTAATATGAAGTATATTTTTAAAATATAATTAACTGTTGAATCATGCTGCCATTTTGGGCATTGTTTTCTGAGGAGCTTCAGGGAATGAAATGAACGGAAGAATGGATGTTTGGTCACTTTTGCACTAGAAGAAGGAGACAGGAATGCTCATAATATCAGTGGATTCTATTACTCATCTATGATTCACTTGCAAAGTTGAATATCATTAATGTTAACAAAGAGATAATAGTATGCTCATCAGATAAACAACTGCAATCAGCCAATATATATTTAACAGTATGATTTAATGAGATGTGGACTGGTGATTTGCCTACCTGGTTCAGAATTGTAGTCCAGGCACAGTCACTCTCTGTTTTTTATTGGCACTCACAGCTACAGAAGACTACAACATTGGCACCTTAAATCATATTTGGGAATCATTCAAACAGCAGTTCAATAAACAAGCCACATACAGGTGTGGGGTGTTTTTTTTGCAGCCCTTCTGCACATGTGTGAATTGGCAGGTAAAGGTGCTCAGATTCTCACCCTGAGATGCTTAATAGTTCTTTGTTCTTTTTAACATTACTTTACTAAAGTTATGAAGCATGTATATTAAAGATTAATAGAAAGAAGTTAACATCTAAGATATATAAATACTTCCTGTTCATTTTTAAATTAAAAAAATCCATTAAATTAAAAATGGTATTTTGATGTATATTTTTTTTTACATCCAGCTTCTCATAATAACATAATTAGCTTTTACACTGCCAGGTTTTTGTTGCTTAGGAATAAAGTTTAAAACTTCACTAACTATAAAATTTAGATGGATAATCTTTCAGTTTTTGTCACAGGGAAAGCCGTAAAGTAGGAGATCTGATTGCTATATCTACAGTAAAGACCTATTCTTGGAAGGATTCTAAACAATTAAGTATTTAGAACAAAATATTAATTTCAGGGTAACAGTTATCCCAAGTTGAGATATTCCAGCACAAAAACTTGCAGAATTTTGCTGAGGTTGTCAATAGTTGCCTTGTCAAGATTCTCTTCATTGTCCTCCATAGTATGCCATACTCTAGGGAAAGGTGATGGTATCAAGTGTAGGATTGGGACACCTGTTGGGATAAGAGAACAACAAAAAAAAGAAGAGTAGGTCTAATTTTTGAGACAACTCAACAATGTTATACAATATATAAACTGAAAGCACGATGGTGTTAATGTTCTAATCTCATCATTTAGTCTACTGAATATTAGAACATTATTAAAACTCCATTGCTGCTAAAATTGTAAGAACGATTAAGGACTAACCATATCATTTTTGGCAAAAAGTATTTTAAACAACAGATTTTTGCTTATCAGGGATAATAGAGTATTTTGAAGTGGGATCTCTCTCTAAATATAAATGTTTTAAGCATATAAATAGAAAATCCACTTTTCACTTCTAGAACAGGCATGTCCACAGGCAGAGGCAAATGGTCTGAACACCATTTTTTTCTTTTGTATGTGCCCTGTGTGGACCCCTGAATATCCTAAAGGGCAATATATTTTACCATAATTATAGTCACTGCCTTTCTTGTATTAATATTATTGTCTCAGCATGATTTGTCAAAAATAAAATAAGCCACATTCTGAAAAATGGGTTTGGGACCAGATCTGACTCTATAAGAATGAATGTTTGTACAATTCCTTAAGTCTAGAAAAAGATTTGTATAGATAAATGACACTTGTACGTATATTGCTAAATGTATGTCAATTAAAACACATTAAAAAAATCCATACCTCTTCTCAAAAATGGAATATGGTCGTCCTCAACTGGATATCGACGTAAATTACTCCGGAAGTACTGCCTCTCAGAAGAATAATTATTTAGCAAACCCAAATCATAAAGGTTTCGTTCTGCAGGGGGGAGGGGGTTGTTAAAAAAAATAGTAAGTTGTGATATCAAAGTGATTGTTTTTTTTAAAAAGCTCTCAATCTGTTTAAAACATTTCGAAGCAATAATGAATTTTCCTTAGAATTTTATGCACCCTCAATGCTTTTGAATGCAAACTCATTGTTATGATTGCTACTCTATTCAGAAAATGACCTCAGAACAGATGTTTACTTAATTTGTATTTTACTGTTTTGGTAGCATTTGTATAGTTTTTATCTTAATCAACAGAATCCACAATGATTTTAAAAATATATACATTAGTGGCTAACTAAATTCTTGCTTCTTCTATAATGCACAAGTTTTTGTTTAAACATCCCTTCAAGGGGAAAAGGTGTTCATAGCAACACGTGTGATGTAAAATTGTAATAGCATGATGTTGCTAGAAACACTCTACCATATAAAACTAAAAGATTCAAATATCCCTTTACTAGTGGAACTGATATATGTTGTAAAATAAGTTCTTACCAATGGTTTCAAGTCTCCCAAACCATCGAGCTGTGTTCAAAAAGTAAACAGGAAAAACAGGATTTCGTGCACCAATTAAATCCAGCAACACAAAAAGATCCTATGAGAAATCAGTCAAGGTTAGCCCTTAAATGCCACTCCAGAGCTTTACCCATAAGAGAATATTAACGATTGTCTAAAATCAGTGAATGTTGACAATTTCAGACAAGTATTTCAAGAGTCATACTTGCTGTACATACTGTATATTGTTGAATATAAATATCTCACTGAAATTGAAATCTTCTATTCACAAACCTTAGTGTGACTCTTATTGTAATTAGTAAGGACTTGATTCTGACTAATAAGTCTACAAAGACTTCAGATGGGAACTGCGTTTTAATGGCATACCTCTGCATTTGTTTTATCAATTAACTTCACCTTTGTTTGTCTGTTTTATCTGCTTAGTTTTTATTGTAAATTGTATTATTTTATTCTGTTGGTGGCACCATGATTAGAATACAGTATTGCAGGCTAACTCTGCCCACTGCCAGAAGTTCGATCCTCACCGGCTCAAGGTTGTGACTCAGCCTTCCATCCTTCCAAGGTCAGTAAAATGAGGATCCAGATTGTTCGGGGCAATATGTTGACTCTGTAAACCGCTTAGAGAAGGCTACAAAGCACTGTGAAACGGTATATACATCTAAGTGCTAGTGCTATTCTAAAAGATAGTTAGAAAGTCATGCTTGCAATTCTTTTCATAACCCTAATCATATTTAAAGCAAAGAGCATAGATTCCATGGTTCTTTATTCATATCCTTGAGATCTAGGAGTATGGCTTCAAAAGAACTGAAAATTTTGGGATTTTATATTTTGGGACTTGGTTTTGTGCTAGGAGTAGTGATTCTTTCACTGCAAAAGATTGCTCCTATAGGAACAAGCATTGGTTATCAGTACAAAAATAAGAGCACAATCTATTTCATTAATTTCATTAAAGTTTGGACTAAATTTGTGAATGTGCCATGTTATTAACTTGGAGGCCATGAAAGTGACCTGATATGATCTCCATGCAAGGGTGTAAGTGGCTCTTTCTGTTTCCAAAGACAGAACTCTCAGCCCTGCATGATCTCCTCTAAATCCAAGGACTCAGATATGGGGGACCTGCTCAAGACAAATATCAGACTCAGGAATGAGGAGCAATCAAGCACCAAAGGCTGACTGTGCTAGCAATAATCTGGAACAGATGCAGAACAAAATAAAACACAAAGGTCCTGATCCCAAGCAGCTACCTGACCTAAAAACATGCTGTGAACTCTGGCGAGTGGAGCAGAAGAACATCAAGAAGCAAAAATGGCAATTGTCTTAATTAAGTCTTGTCACACTAGCTAATATTAATGCAACTACAGAAGCTGGTTTTTCCATTGGGAACAACTACTCTAACCATGGATCGGTATTTTTATATCACTAAATCCTAAGTGTTATCTGAAGCCTGGGCTTTCTGACTACTTTCCATGTCACTTGGTTCATTGGACTGTTCCTGATCTTTGTATGCCCATGATCTGATTTGGCTTTGGGCTCACAGGCAAGATTTCGCTTTCTTGTTAGTGTTCTGGTGTGTCCATGTGCTTGCACACATCAGAGCTCTGCCTGCCAAAGCCTGTAGTTCTTGAAAACTTGAAAGTAAACCGATTGCAACCGAACTTCATGTGTATGTTCAGCCTGAAACAGGACAGATCCCTTGTAAGGGAGAGGACAGGGGGTTTATTAGAAAAGGACGAGTTGTCTATGTGAACCCTCCCCTCTGAAGAAGGGAGGGTAAGTGATGTGTCGGGGGTCAGTATGTCGTGAGACTTGAAGGGGAGACTTCTGGCGTAAATTTCATGATTAACGCTTTATAAAAATAGAGAGAAGGTTAAAAAAAGAAAAACATATTCGAAAGAAGGGTATCATAATAATATTTAAAGAATTGGACTAATAGGAAATTAATGTTACATCAAAAACTTTGTATAGTTCTGCCATTTTTAGCCCAGTATCCAGTATTTGTAAAGTTTTCACTTACAATGCCTTGAATCTGATACGTATTCCTGGCACCCGGTGGATGAGGAGTAGATGCCATTTTCTGGGCCAAAGATCTGGAGCCATACAGGGAATCTGAAGGGGACCATCTCACAAAAGCTTCTTCACCATCAAAGAAAATAAGCTTCAGAGAAAGATCTGCCTTGGGTGGTAAGCTGCTTTGCTATCGAATGAGTGGGAAACAGAATGGAAAGTCAGTCACCTTACTTAGGATCACAGTAAATACAGGAGCAACTTGAAGAAAAAGCAAATACCTTCAGAAAAGAAAGCTGTCTATCCAAGGACCTTGCCAATTCTAGCATCATTGCACAAGGCACAGCTGAGTCGGTGGCTCCAATAAACACTTTACCATCCAGTTGCGGTGGGAAATACTTTGAGTCATAATGGCAAGCAATCACCAAATGGCGCTTGGCAAGGGGATTGAGAGTACTGATTATATTTGAGAAAGTGCGGTATCCATAAGGAGTATGGCTCTGAAACGTGTCTTCTTCAACAAGCCAGCCAGCCTGTAATCCTTGTAGGCGATGCTTGATATGCTAAAATGTATAGAATCAAAAATCAGTAGTGATCAATAATGTTAAGTTTTAAGTAAGTCCATACAAATCAATCCTGCAGCTGCCAACAAATTTTCTGAAGAAGATTAACATTATCTCCTGAAACCTACTATGAAAAATGTTCATTCACAGCTTTGAATACATCTCTCTTTAGGAGACCTTTTCAAGCAGCCATACAGTCTACTGATAATTATCAATATATCATTATAATGAAGCAGAACAAGTCTTCCATTTCAGGCTGGAATTCTGTTTGTATACGGCAAAAGAAAACTTTGGACTGAGCGAGCTATCAGCCTTTTTCAACATGGTAACCTTTCAGATGTAATCAGTTCCCATAATTTTTTTGCCAGCTCACCTGTTATCTGTAGCATCTAGGAACAATTATCAAATACATCTGAAGGGCATCAGGCAAAGAAAATATAATGATAATATGTTTACGCCTTTTTCATTTTTAGCTTTTTAATATGAGAATGATTCTTTCAGAATGCAGGTACATTCACATACATCCCCCCTCTTGGAGTCTCTTTTTCTATACTTCATGTTGCACAGGAGTGAATCAGAGAGGTAATAAAGTTTTGGCTACTTTGAGCTTTGGATAAGAGTGCTTTTGCAGTGAATAATACAGAAAGAACTAAAGGAAAATCAGGATGAGATTCTATATTCATTACATTTTCTTCATGTTCATAATTTCAAAAGGAATAGAAACTTTTCAAAATATGAAAGTCATAGAAATGGTTCAAAATATGAGAAAAATGGACTTTAGTCAGCAATTCCAGATTGAAATGCAAGAAAGACTTAGGAAAGTAAGAGGTTCTCAATCTCAGCTGCTGTCACTTAATGGTATATAATTGCTGCTCCCCCATCTGAGGATATATCTTTGGATGTTTCTTTAGTAATATGTTTTCTCAGCTGCTCATTTCTATAGCAGCTCAAGAGTTGTTGCAATCAAGGCCTAAGAGAGTCTTCATTATCTTGCAGAACATGTTGATACTTGTCTGTAAGTAACAGGCTTACAATGGCTGAAGGATACAGTAGTTAGAAAAATGTGTTGTGTAAAAAATCAAACCTATGCATTGAAAAACAAGATTTATTGCTAATCAGAATGAAACTACGAAAGACATAATTATGTATATGCATAAAGACACGTAATGAAAAGAATTTTACTTTTGTCATCTTTCCTTTTGTGAATTTTTTAGAACAACAATCTAAGTGCCATTATATTAAGCTCTATGTCCATGAAAGGTAAACACTTTGCAGCTTTTTATTACTTTTACCTTTCAGAGAATTTGAGGGGATAGAAAAGGGAAAAAAATATTACTATGAGAATGAAGATGTATTTTAGGATATGGACTAATTCCAGAAATACATATTCATAGGGTAAATTATCAGTGATACCTGTGGTCTGTAAGTGCTAATTAGCTATTAGTTGTTTTGTTATGAGTGGCAAATAAATTTAATAAATAAATAAATTTGGGATTGAAGATCCTAATATGCAGGGGACACTTTAATTAGATTTGTAATTTTCAGTGGAATCAAAGACATTCGTCTTACTAGAAACTTTATTTTTAGATACCGTACTGTTCTTCTCCAGGAACAGTAGTACATATTCTTCCTTGGATGTTTTTAATTATTACAGAATTAGATATACTATTTTTGTTTAGGCTATTTGTGAGCAGTCTCCTAGGAAACAAGCAGTTAGTAGATATTCTTTGAAAGAGCTTATCTGCCTTTTTTGCTTCATAAATTGCAGATCATCAAGCTTACATATCATCACATTCCAACTGTACTAACAAGAATCACAAGAATTTTGAACAACATCTCCAATTTATCAGAATTTAGCATAATAAAGATCCTGCATACTTGTGAGTATTTTTTGTGACTGGAAAGTACAGTTATTCTCCAAGTTGTAATATATTAGTTGCTAATGTACTGTCATTAGTGCCGACAACATAATTATTTCCCATTCCAGGAGCATTAACTGTGTTTCAATTAATGGTTACTAATTCTCAGACCTGTATACACATCCTGAATAATAATCATCATATTTTAAAAAATGTGGGAGAAGAGGAAAGCAATAGAACCTTTGTGTCCTGTCTCTAAACCTCCTGTTTGGAATCGCTGTCATATTATGACATAGAAGGGTGGATTAGATGGCCTTTGGCTTGATTTAACAAGGCTTTTACATTTTTTTTTGCAATGATATTACCTCTGTGACAAGTCTATTGCAGTGTTCCTATTCTATCTTCTCTGTGCCTGTTGAATTATTTTGCCTCTTTCAGTAGTTACAACCTGTTCTGTCTTACCTGCCGCACAGCATAACTCCCAGGTGAACCTGGATATCTCTCAATCAGGATTGGATGAAGGTCATTTTGCCACATGCGATTAACATTTGTCTGTGAGGTGACTTGTAGGATACAAGTTGCATTTAAAATGGTTGGACGATGGGAATACTGCAGAAAGAATTAAAGGAAAAATCAGGATGAGAAGATGTTATATTGCTCACGTTGCTTTGCATCTGTGATGGAAATATTCAGATAAAATAGTTATTATCCATTTTTATTTTTAAAATGAAAAGTAGCAATAAGGAGCTGTTATCCAGAGTTTAATCTATTGACACAATGCATGGAAATGTACTTCTGTAAAGTATTTACATATATACATGCTGTGCATAAGATAAGGATTGAAGGCATTTATTAGTATAGTAATTGATTCCTATTCTCTATTAAATCTTTAGGGAAGCCATAGTGTCACTTAATTTCTTCCAGAAAGCAAAGATTATTTTGTACCTCTTCCTAAGACTCAGTTCTAGCACATACTAATTTTATGTATTAATTCATATCCTTCCTTGAGTATCGGAAGAAAGAAAGATGCAGTTTGATCCAAGTCCTTTTCTGAGTATTTTTAAAATCTTTCCTATTGTAAATTTAACATTCTGCTAAAAATTATGGATTTCCAAGAAATAATGGAAAATATACCAAGAGACTTTTCTTAAGGGCAGCTTTATCAGAAATGCACATTAGCCAACAGAGTTTTTAAGTGCAATGAAGATTAGATTGCTTGCAGTTAAAAAAAAGGAAAAAAATTAAAATTAAAATGTAACTTCATTTTACCTGCCAAAAAAAAGTTGTATAGAAATCAATAAAAGAATGATTTTGATAAAGTAGTATAAACATTTATCAATCCCAGTTTGTGTCCACTGAAAGACAAAACAAGATACTGTTTTATAATCATGCTGCTGCTGAAGGAACAACTCCTTTGGCAGATAGATAGATATTAACTTACAACTGGTCCTCGCACTTATAACGATTACAACATTCCCACAGTCACATGAATAGTCATAATCAAATGTGGTTGTAGTTGTAAGTCAAGGACTACTTCTATCCTTTGTACATCGAGGAATATCTACACACAGCTTCAATATAAATTAGGCCAAATTACAAGACTGTTCAATTCCACAAGAATTAATCTAGTCGCTTTTCAGCTAACTACCTAAATTCATGTCAATCCAAGTTACAAAGTTTACTGGACTTTTTTTTTTTCTTTCATACCACCCTTTTGACTATACTAGGTGGTAGGTATAAGTAAACACCAGTCATCCAAAAACTTTCCCCATTGGACCTAGGAGAGGTAGAATTAATTGAAAATGTTATACATTTAATATTGAACTTCAGTCTTTTGAACTCCTACTTAGCAAAACACCTGGCACCCAGACAAATTTTACATTCTTTATCTATTGTCTTGATAAAAATCTGTAGCTGACATATACAGCTGCAAAACTGTTACCTAGTAACAATGATTTGCAGCAATGTGTTATCCTCAGTCTAAGGAGTGAACTGATGTTAATAAAGTTCATTGTACGTTGAAATTATATTAGCCATTAGATGTTATATTTCATAGATGCTCTTATGTGTATGTACTCTTGTCTAAGACTATAATAAACTATTTACTTAGTGTGCCAAATATTTGATTAAAAAACCCCTAATCTTTCAGGTAAGTAGAGCATTCATTCAGTTCAAAGAAAATCACTTCTATTTTCATTTAAAGAAAAAAGGATGTTGAAATTCTCCAGTTATAGACTATACAGGCTGCCTGATACGAACATTTTTACTATGGTAAATTGAATATATGTAAAACATAATTAATAATACACATTTACTAAAATAGATTCAGGCTAAGGTAATTGTTTTTAATGTAAATTAAAATAAATGCAGAATAAATCCAACCAACATCCAGAATGATCCTCATTATAAAGTACAATCCTTACATGTTTTATATATAAATATTTTACCACATAGCTACTGAATAGAAAATCAACTCACAGCAATTCTTCTAATCTGAATGAAAAAAACACAAATGCAATATTCCCGAGAATGCACTATTCCAAATGAATTAAAAGGCTGATTATTTGAATATTTTGTAATAAAGGTTTCTTCAGTACAATATGGAGAAAGAATTGCTCCTATTTTCTTCAACATGAGAATGCTGAAGTTTGATTAGGAATATTGTGGGGGTTTTTTTGGGGGGGGGAGAGATCCAGTATCCAGTCATGGACACCATTTGTCCTTTTTTCTCTTTGTGGTCTTCACATCATATCAGATTTCCCAACATTATTTGATATTATAGGTGTGTGGGTGCTTTCTATGGTTCACATACCGTAATTACAATTATTGCCATTCTTTGCCAGTGAAATTTGGGGGAAATTATCTTAGTTATATTTCAATTTGCTAATTATAGTTATATTTATTATATTTAGTTATGTTTCAATTTGGTAATGCACTCCCAGGGTGCATCTGGAGACCTGGTTTAATGTACTTTTTTCCAGTTTGTAAAGCAGATCAAAATTATGCCAGCATAATTTGCTGTATCTACATAGTCAATCTTGACTCTGTTTCTCTAATGAGGCTGGTGGGTGGTGCTGTCTTAATAGTTTACTGCGGGGTAAGTTAAAGTGCATTGATTGATGGATTTTTCTGCTGGCAAGAAAAATATCAACCAATTGCTTCCTTTCGCTGCAGCTAAGGCTTGGCAGATGACAGTGAGGTATTGCAATAGAAATTCTATCATTTCTGCATGTGTATTGGAAACTGATACACATACAAAAGGCATTGAGCTTTGATTGCAACACATACCTGCTATCTTACGGATTTTGACTCTTTCCTCTATGCAGACATGCCTTTAAATATGTTTAATGAGACAACTTTGAGACAAAATTAAGGAGTTGTATATCATAGTGCAATAAGTGGGGCTGCTCTTGAGAAGTATCCAGATGTTGCAATTAATGCAAAATGTAGGAATTATGCTGCTAATGAGTACAAAAGGTTTAAGGATCTTATCATGATTGTACTGAAAGGTCAGCAGTATTTGTTGTTGCCTACTGTACTTGATAAAATGTAATCCATCAGTACAAACAGACCTTAGGCTTTTTATTCAAAGGCCTGGATTTCTTGTTATGCACCTGCTGTGATTTGCAGGTAAGCCCACATTCTTTCCGGTAAGAAGGTTGCGTTCTCCTGTTGCTTCCAGGCTCTGATATGACATCCCCCATATTCTTGGAAGGATTTAAGTAATTTATAGTTTGAAAGATGCTTCTCTTCCGTAAGACTTTCAACTGTTAATTGATTTTAGTAATAACTTCAAATGCTTGCCAGAGTAAAATATAAAACAAAAAAATGAATAAATGCATTCTTTGCCAACCAAAGCTAAGCCTGTTTCTCAGGAGACATCCCTCCATGGCAAATTGATTGAGTGCAATTCTCATTATGCTCAGTTTGGAATCTGCCCAACTGACCAGCTTGGGATCTACTCCTCTGTAAAGATAGAGAGGATCAGAGTACTATATTTGCCCAATAGAAAATTCCAATTTTGCCTTCCCCCCCCTAATGGAATTTGAGGATATCTCATTTGTACTAGGTCCATTGTTTGGATACTCTCTCATCAGGCACTGACCCACTTCAGATTTCTTGGCTTCAGCAATGCTGCTGTATCATGTGCCTTTAGACTGTGCCCATCAGTTGGTGAGGGTGCTATTTTCCTCTCTAGTGCCTTAGGGCCGTGCTGGTAGTGCAGCTGGGTAAAAGGCATTTATTTGTACATCAGCCTTCCAGATCACTTATTTTTATGACACAATTAGCCACCTCATCACCTTTATTAAAAAAAAAAAAAAGAGGTACATCATGCTACCGGATTTCTGGCCACTCACTCCACAAATAAGAATAGCAATAGAACAATGGTATAACATCAAAAAGTTCAAGTCTCAGCCACCCCAATGCCCCATGCATCATATTATCATCCAAAAGAAATAAGCAGAACATCTAGATTCAGTCCCAGTTTTGTTCCATACAGTATCAACCTTGCGAACTCTTAAGTTTCCTCTTTCCGCTATGTATTCAAAATGGACAGTGATCTAGGTATACACTTATATGGTGTTAGGTATAAATATGTTTAACTGGCTTTTAACCCTGAAGATGTTGGGAGCTCCCAACGAAAGCTCGGTTTTCAATTCAAGTATTTTTACTTAATTATTATTATTATTATTTATTGAATTTATATACCGCCCTATCTCCCTTACGGGACTCAGGGCGGTGAACAGGCGATAATAAAAACCACGATAAATATACACAAATTTCTGTCTAAAAACCCTCCTGGTGATCGTAAATTAATTAGTTATTTCATAATAAATATGTGTATGTATATAGCATGTGTATTATGTATGTGTATGGGTAGATGTGTACTTTCTTTTGAGATCAGGCAACAGAATTTCATTTTTAATGGGTGCCAGTGTGTGCACAGTAAAAAAAAAAAACGACAAAAAAGAAATAAGATACATTTCCCCCCCTTTCGTTGCCGGAAGGCCAAAAATGCTGACCCCACAGCCATTGTCCCCTCCTTGGCTGTACTGTCCCTGTGCCCCTTCCCTTCGCATCCGGCTGCACCCACAAAGCAAGCCACCCACCTTCTCCTGAGTCCAGTCCGCTCTGTCTTCTCGGCCACTCACATGCTGCGGGAAGCCCGGGAGAGCCAAGCAGAGTGCCCAGGCCAGGCAGAAGAATGCCGCCGCCTTGCGATCCCGTCTCTCTCTGGCCATGCCGTTGCAGAAAGCAGCCCCCCCCCTCCCCTCGGCTGGGCAGGTGAGGCGGCTGCAGGTGAGCCTCAGAGGGAGGCAGATTCAGGCAAATTGGCGGGCGCAACGGGCGCAGCGTTGGCGAGCAGGCGCGCGATGGGACGGCGGCGGGTCTGCTTCGCTTCTGCCTTCCTGAGGCGCTTTTGGCTTCGCCTCCAGCTTTCTGCCTTGCCTTGCCTACGTAACGCGGCGGGAGAGATGCTAATTCCCATCCCAATCAGTCCGTCTTTCCCTCCGGAGTGGGTGGGCGTTTTGGCCCTGGCACCACGTCAGCAGCATCAGGAGGACAACAGATGACTAATCCCGCCACTTTGGGCTGGAGCCAGAAGGACAACCCACCCACCCCGCCCCCGTTTCCTTCTGGTTTTTTTTTTCCTCCGAAAGCGAGCGGGGCTTTTTGATTCTACAGACGCTAAAGATGTTTTTTTCACTGATAAAAGTGAGCGGCGAGGGGCGCCTCGTGATTTTTTTTGGGGGGGGGGGACTTTAAGATTCCTGTGAAGTAATGAATCAAAGCGGGATCTGTATTTCTCGTGAGCGGTTTGTTATTTCAGACCGATCAGCCTGCAAAACTGGCACGCATTTATAGATTATTTGAAGGATGTAGGATTTGGGAGACCTTTTATTAGTACTTTTAAAAAAAAGAAGAAACAATAACGGCATTGCTTAGTAAAGTTCTTACAAGCAGCTTAGGAAACACATTGAATTCCTCCTACTGGAAGTACTGTAGGTGCCCTTCTGATGTGTTGGAGAACAACTTCCAGAATTCCCAGTCAGCATGCTGGGAATTACAGTTCAACTTGTTTGGGTGGTTGCCTGATTGCGGAAAATTTCTCCATAAGTTTTCATAAATTGGATTCCAGTACAAGTTCCTACAAAATGTTTATCTTTTTTTTTATGCTAACATCATCCTTTCAATGGAAACTTTTTTGTCTCCATTGGAAGCTCCCTGTCTCAGTCTTTTCCCAAGCACAGAATGTATATTATCAAATCTGGATTGCAAAAATCCTGATGACCACTAGATGGCAGCAAAACATTAATGTTTTCTGTAAATCTTTGCTGTTATCTTCTAAAGCCATCAAAAATGCTGTTGTCCATAACTAGTAGCTCCTGCCTATGGGCATAAATAGTGAGTTAGGCATATGATAAAGCATGTGGCTTTTAAAGAGACAAGGGAAGCTTAGCTTTTTTCCATTCCATGCACAATTGCTCCCTGCTCTCATTTGGCTATCATAGTTTCCTTTTTATAAAAAAGGAAACAAAAAGAAGCAATAGTATCAGTTAGCCAAAAATTTGTATATAGGGTGAACCCACTCATTGGACTGTTTCCCCAACTTGCTAAGTCATGTCTGTTTAACCCTTTTTAAATTGAATATACAGTATCATAACTAGCTGCATTCACAGAACAGACTAAGCCAACGCCAAGCAAACATTATCGCTCAGTGTGCTGGATTCCACAGTTCTACTGGGCAAGCTGGATAGTTCCTCAAATAACTAATATGAATTCACAAGCTAAGATCAGTTGGTATGTCAATCTTGAATGATGTCCCTAATGTCTGAGACACTTTTGTCCAATTATAAATTAATTGATCTAAATAAATTTCCTACCAGCTTTTGGACACAGAAACAGGAGGCTAAGAAGCTGCAAAAAAGGACTGCTATAATTAACACCATATCTTCTTTTCTATTATTTTTACACATCTGCTCTGGAGGAGCTTCTTTGTATATGTAAAAGGGGGACAGCAGATGAGTGAAAGCAGACAGAGCATTTTTCCATCTCTGTCAGTAGCTTCAATTTAAAGAACCACTGGAGTTTTTAAACATATGAATAAAAACAAGTAGTGCACTGAAACTAACCAAGATAAGATAACTATTCTTCAGCAAACTAGGAGTGCTTTCTGATTGCTAAGTTGCTTGGCAATGTATTATGATGCCAGAAACCCAACATTTTAGTTTAATCCAAAATGTAGTTTGCTTCTTTGTAGCTTAGCATATGGTATAAACTCAACCACAGTTTGTAAGCCATAGACATTGTATTAAAAAGCATTGTTTATTGAACAGTAGTTTAGGATATTGTGTAAGCACAGCTGGGTAAATAACTTCCCCAAGATTCACACCAGATGTGCCTTTATATGTGGTGTAAAACATCAGCTGTCTTCCTCCTCTGGGAGATAACTGGACATATACAAACTATGTAGATAGACTACTGTGTATATATTTCATGCTGCAAAAATATATTTAGATTAAATGTTTTTAATAAGGCCATCCAAACGCTAAAATTAGCTACGTATAATTGTGATAACGAAGTTTAATAATATAGTGTAAGTCATGTCATTAGTCTTGAGTGGTGACCCTCAACCCATAAAGGGAGGATCCATCTATTAAAAGTAACAACAGTCTTTTAATCTTGTTAGTGTTTTCTTCTCTCCCGGGAATAGGTTCGACGTCGACTCGACTGACGCTACACAAGTCTAATTATGATTCATATCCTGTTATGAATCCGGTTGCCTTAATGGGATTGAAGAAATGCCAGGATCCTGACAAGAGAACATCAGTGTTTTTTGTGATATGTGGACACTTGTTTGAATGGGATTATTTCTTTGCAAAGATGCCTAGAACAACATTAGCAATAGACATATAACTCCGTGGTAGTGTTACACAACACACTGAGTTACAATTGGCTTAATCTAATTTTCTGAGTTGCAGACTACACCAAGTCATAAAAGAGCACATGAACTGAAACCATGAAACTTCCTAAGCACTAAGAGCGGGTTAACTAGATTGTATTTCAATGTGTCATAAACCACAATCATTAAAGACACATTCACCCTCTCTAATAATTAAGGGCAATTTATGCTATACCCCAGTCCAGCTCCATTCAACTAATATTGATTTCAAATTTTGATGTCTGCAAAGTGACAATAATAGCCAAACTAGGCTAATGGCCACTTGATTAATGAGCTCTTTAGGATAGGAAAGAGGTAAGATGATAGTATAAATAGCCAAGTATTTAAGGGACATTTTTCTTTATGAAGTCAATTAGAATTTTAATCTAGCATAAATTCATATTTAAAATACTGTAGATTCCTTGAAAAATTGTTGAGCATAATGTTACAGTGCCACCTAATGGTTTATTATGCTGAACAAACTGTTTTGACCAGTGTTTATGCTCTAATTCAGTGATGGCGAACCTTTTAGAGACCGAGTGCCCAAACTACAACCCAAAACCCACTTATGCATCATCGAGTGCCGGGTGAGTGTGGCCAATTGGCTGGGCGTGGCCCACTGGCTGGGCGTGGCCCACTGGCTGGGCGTGGCTGTGGTAACGGCAGACTGGGTGGGACTAAAAAGTTCAATCAATCAGTTCCAACTTTGCAAGATCTTTTTTTTCCCCCGCGAGAAGTTGAAATTGACTGATTGAACCTTTTTTTTTTTTGCACACGGCAGCGGAAGCCTAAAGCGAAAAGGTTTTATAAAACCCAGCTGAAGGCCTAGGACTGGGGTGAGGGTGCGTGTGCCCACAGAGAAGGCTCTGAGTGCCGCCTCCGGCACCCGTGCCATAGGTTCGCCACCACTGCTCTAATTAAACAGATTCTCAGTTATTGAATGGCTTTCAGTTCTGTGAAGTTTCTGTTGAATTTGATACAATCTATATCTGTAGCCCTGATCATGTTTGATGGTTGAGGTCAGGAGGCTGCATCAAATATTGCAAAATCAATTAATCTCTTCCATTTCCAAATTTGATCTTAGGATAGCGGGCATTAATAATAATAATAATAGTAAAGTTGGAAGGGACCTTCAAGGTCATCTAGTCCAACCCCCTGCTCAGGCAGGAAACCCTATACCATTTCGGACAAATGTCTGTCCAGTCTCTTCTTAAAAACTTCCAGTGTTGGAGCATTCACCGCTTCTGGAGGCAGGTTGTTCCACTGGTTAATTGTTCTCACTGTCAGGAAGTTTCTCCTTAGTTCTAGATTGCTTCTCTCCTTGATTAGTTTCCACCCGTTGCTTCTTGTCCTGCCT